TAGACCAAGCATGGACTTTATTCTTAAAATGCTTATATAACATGTGTTTCACAAAAAGTTGCTAAGAATATAGCTCAGTGAACTTACTCATTTTTAGGTCAAAGGTTCGATCCCCGAAAAAAGCGTTTCACTTCCAAACACTTTTAAAAAACATGTCAATTTTTTTTTGACAGAATATTAAAAAAAAAGACCAATAGACATGTCCTAACATAGACATAATATTGATGATAAGAACTTTTAATTTATTTATTTAGAAATCATAAATGTTATTTGATCAATTGATACATATTTTTTATGAATTTTAATTTTTATACTTTTTCCATGGACAATTTTATCAATATTTATGGAGATTTCGATCGAAAAAGTTAGTGACACAAAAGGGCAAAACGAGAAAGGGTGTTGATAAAATAGATTCATCACACAACTCCATTTCTGTTAAATTGAGATGTCCATATTTTATATCAATCACATTTAAAGAAAGCTAATGACACAGAACGGCAAAAAGGGTGTTAATAAAACGGACTCATCCACAACTCCATTTTTCCACACGGCATTTATTATTTATTATTTATTTTAATTATTATGAATATATTGAAGAAAACCCATGAAGAATTGCGTAAAATTCATCCCACTTGGCCATGGCACCACCATCATTTCACAGCCCCACCTCCACTAGCCTCTGCTACCTGCAGCTGCAAGTAGAAGGAGAGGGCCATGGCCATGGCCATGACCATGACCATGTCCTCTCAAGTCAACAGACAAAATAACTCAGAAATTCAAAGCTCTCTCTCGTTTGCTTTCTCTAGTAAAAGTTTTCCATATGTACAACTCCAGCAAACAAAAATGTGAACCCATAAAATAGACATTATAGAGTAATCAACTGGTGGAACAAGTAAAGAAGAAGCAGTATTCAGTGCATTTTTTTTTTTTGTCAAATGAGCTAGGCTACTCAAAAGTCGTAATCGATATCTGTTGCATTCTGGGAGGCAGAGCGTTTAATTAGCCGTTCTTGCTCGTCGTATCGGTCGAGGTTGTCACAAGGAGCTGGGAAGATCGTTCCTATGACACGCCCATGAACGAATGCACATTGGAATATATGCTTCTTCTTGTATGTTATACCCACTGACATGTCCCTGAATGTCACGTTTCTCACTGGAATCTCTTCGCTACCATGCATCCGAACGGGGACTCGAACTCCCTGCCCGTGGATGCTTGTGAAGCTTATGTCCTTCAGTACTGGAACTGCCTTTGGATCGAATCCCTCGTCTGGGTGTTCATTGTAGTCTGTCTTTATGACAATCCCAACACGAACAACGTCGAGGGTCAGATTTCGATAAGTGATGTCTCGCACGTATCCCCCTCTTCCTGGAGCAGTCTTGATCCGAACTCCACGCCTGGAGTTCCACACCACGACATTCTCCACAGTGACGCCCGATACGCCACCCGACATCTCACTACCAATTGATATACCAGCGCTGAAGGATTTCAACCAAAGTGGTAACTCAGCTACAATCTAATCTATAAAAGTAACCGACTGCAGAATTGACAGATAACAGAAAGTTCCATTTGCTCCTTCCTCATAAAGGGAGAGAGATATCTAGACACATGAATGCAGTCAATATGTATTTGTCACGCAAACACGTGCAAGATGTTTACCTGACCATAGATTGAAGAACAACATTTCGGATTCGTATGTTTCTTGAGGGTTGCCCATAAGCAATGCCATACTGATCCCAACCGCTTTTAATTGCGATGCCATCGTCTCCAACGCTTATGTAACAATCCTCAATCAGCATATCTTCACATGAATCTGTTTATGACAATATAAAGAATATGAAACGAGTTGTTATCAAATGACAACAAATAAAGTTGCGTGTATCTAAATCTATGGTAGACTATTAAATTTGACCTTATAACAGATGATCTAAAACCCAGTGCAATTTAAGTTCAATCACTCCCTTGGTTCGACCTCAACCCAGAAGGATTTTCTTATGCTTTCAACTTACATAGGTTATGCAACGAAACAAACCCAGCGGGCAGTTGTTCATCATTGTGCCCCTCAAAACTCGTTTATTTTTCAAATCTTTAAGCCGGTGCCACCTAATCTAGAAAAACTTTGTTTCAGTTTCACCTTCTACACACAAAATTATACTACAGGAAAAGCTAAATGGTCTGTGATTTCTTAATTTGAGGTACCCATCTCATACGAAAACTGATGCAATATATCGATGTCAACTCGAGGTACCCATCAGGCAGCCGTATCATAACAATTTACAGTAAACCAAGCATCATATTGGACAATGATATAAACAAAGCATAAAAATTTACCGGGATCTATTCCATCTGTATTTGGTGCATCGTGTACAGGAGCCAAGATCGTAACTTTCCGGATAGTAACATTCTTACAGTCATATGGATGAAGTGTCCAAAAAGGAGAGTCACGCAAAGTAATATTGCTAATCACAATATCACTTGACCACATGATCTGAACGAGTGGACCCCTTGTGTGGTTAAGAAGCTTCTGGCGATATTTCTTCCACCAGGTTTGACCCTGTCCGTTTATAGTACCATTATGTCCTGTAAGTCACGACATATACACAATCAGAAGTCAGGAATCGAAGATTAGGGCTTCTTGGGATATCGGTCATTGTGTTATAGTGCAGTTTGTATCATGCAGCTTTTCGTCGCAATTTTCTCCCTAGGGTTGTCGTGCCTTTTTTCCCCTTATCTGTTGTTTTGAGTTGGATGCTTATGTTTTAGTTTTTTTCCTCCTGTATGGATAATTATATATGGAAGATGAATTCAGTTAATGAGTTTTCTTTCCCCTCTTCTACTTTTCCCTGTTTTCAGTTATTCCAATCTCTCTTTACTCCTAATTTCCCTCTTTAATCTGCAGCTTTGTCTATTATTCAAAATTGAAGCTTCAACAGGTTACATCTAGCCGTCACTCTACGTAATCATGCTATAGTATCTAGAAGTTAGAAAACAGATATTTAATGGAGACTGTAGAAATTTCTTGTTTGCAATTCATTATCTGCATCTGCGTCTCTTCAAGTGATGATAATTTGCACTTTCTTGATATGTTAACACATTATGTTGACATTAGATTCCAAATCAAGGCTAATAAAAAAGTAATTAGATTATGAAAGGCTAACCAATCTGACCTGTTATCACAACATCTCTGAGATTTTGACCGTGAATCAAACTCCCGTACCGAGGTCCAATGTGCTCTCTTCCATACCCATAGGAAGGCAAAGGAGGCATCAGTGGCCAATATTTTTCATCCTGTGGCAGGAAAAAGATCAGCTACCATTCCACCTGTCACTAGAGGCTCATTTTATGGTGAAGAATAAATTATTAAAGCACAGTGTTAATCCATGTTGAACAAAAATTCAAACTAATCCATTTGTTTAACTAAAGACCGATGTCTGATAAGTTGCATAGTAGTTAAAATGTCAAAGTACCAAAAAACCATAAAGATACCATGTTGCCGTGCGAAAACCTTTAAGGAGCAGCAAAGCAATCGGTATAGAAAACAATTTAGCATTACTATTACCACCTATTCCATGGAAAAGATGGGGATGTGAGTACAAAAATAATCCCATTCGTGAGGGCATACCTCGGCAGTCAGTTCAAACAGACAATCGGACAAGTGAACACAGAATTCATATTGTTGCACCTGTATGTCTAATCTGATCGTCTGAAACAACCGCATATAGCTCTCGCAACATGAGAAAGTATTCATCATTCATAATTGTGAATGGAAAATGGTATGGCACTTTACTAACTGGCTTATAGATTCCTGATTTTAGAATACTCAAAGATCTAACTACCACTCTATAGCATCCATAACCTAAACTACGCATTTCTACTTAGAACTTCCAGTTTTCAGTTTGCTTCTTCAGGTCTAAAAAATTATTCATAATCAGTATCAGAATCAGTATCAGTGCTAATAGTAATTAGCAATAGGTAATGGTGAAGCTCGCTATTAATATAACATTCTATTTGATGCATCATCTTACAATTTTAACTACAATGGTAAGTGCAAACAGAGCTAAATGGCATCCAATAAAGCATGCAAGTTTGAACGGAAAATACTAACCATTTTATCATGTTATTCTCAGTATCAAAAATCCAGTCAAAACTAATTCACTCCTAAACTCTTCAGACTAAGAATTTAACCAGATTCAAGATGAAAGAGAGCATCCAAAAGAAAGGAAGAAAGGAAAAACTCACCTGAACCCCTAATACAACAGCATCTTCATCTAAAAACAAAGTCATATGGCTAGTGAGATTAAACGGAGCCGTAAGCCAACGCCCGGGAGGCACATTCAGCTGTCCACCACCTCTGGTCCTCAACTTCGAAATAGCCAAAATAGCCCTCTCAAAGGCCTCGGTATTCAATGTCACCCCGTCGCCCACTGCTCCAAAATCCGTCAAATTGAACGCAACAGGCCTCAGCCGCGGCAACGGTCTGGCGGAGGCTCGCCGGAGCGACAAGAACCCATTACCTATAGTACCCTGCCAGAGAAAAATCGTGGCAACCGCCGCGATCCAGAACACTGTAAAGAGCGTCCTGTAGGTGGAGAAGAAAGCCGGAATGCATCGCTTGAAGTCAATTCTCTGGCTATGGAACCGCCCACCCAGAATTGACGTCTCCACCATCATTACCACAATGCCGAACTGTTTCCGCTGCGAAACTAGTGATCGGTGAGTAAAATTAAGGAACTGGGTTCCTCGGAATTGATCATGGGGATGTGGGTTTCTGCTGAATCGAGGCCGGAGACGAAGGTGAGAGATCTAGAAGGGGGATTTGGGGTTCAGAAGCGAGAAGTAAGTGGAAGTAGTAATTCGGGAATCAGAGAAGAAGATTGCGACGGAATTGGGTGAGATGTTAGTGATCAAAATCAGGTAGAAATTTATGAAGATTAGTGAAACTTACGATTCTCAAAGATAGAGTGTATTCCAAGCGAAGATTTTCAAGTTTAAGGTGAAACCCCCAGAAAGTGGACTTCTGCTGGGTTCGTGATTAAAGCTGCAATTTAATTAAATATTAATCGCCATCCTTGACAAAATTGACCATACATTTATTATACCGTAGAAATTTAAATGAAATAAAAATACAAAAAGTTAAATATATGTTTTAGACTTTAGTAAGAAAAAGTTTTCAATTTACTTCCTTATATTTAATATATATCAAATTTTCTTAAAAAAAATATATATATATATATAAATTTAATATCTCACTTTTGATAAATATTATAATTGGGTGATTGTAAAACAATAATAGTTGATGAATTGATATAAATTTAGAAGAGACAAAAAGTAATCTAAAATATGAAAGTTTTTAATTTATCATCTAAATTTCTAAAAAATTGGTAAAAATTCCAAGTTTTATTCTCGACGCTTATTTTTTCTCTAAATTTTTATCAATTCACTAGGTATTACATTTTATAAATTTATCATCAACTAATTTTAACATACGTCAATCGAGAAGGATTAAATTGAAAAAAATTAAAATATAAAAGACTAAATTAAAAATTTTAACCGACACTCAAACCTTAAAAATGGAAAATAAATTTAACCAAAAAAATGTATTATTGAATCTTAAATTTTATTTAAAAGCTAAAAAAAAATTATTTAAAAACTAAGAAAGTTTATCTATTAATTTAAATAAAATTCTTGATTTATATGATTTGTTTGCGAAGAATTCTTAATGCAAAAGCGAGGTAATTGACATATATATGATATAATCATCCATATTTGTTTTTAGAAGCAAACACCTTTTTTCCCCTTGAATTGAGACTTCATCTCCATAATTTTTTAAATTATTATATCTACCATAAATATTTTCTCTCATGGGATAGGTTTTATCTATCATCATGGGGTCCTCCAAAAAAAATAAGAAATKGAAAGATTTTGTTGAAATTGTTCGTTTGGAAATTTCCCGGGGAAGACCTATGTGGGGCACCTTTTGGGTGTGGGATGCTCGTTTAACCTCTGTATTCATCTCGTTCCCGCTCGCTGTAATAGCTTGCTTCTCGGGTGGCTCGCACCCCGGGTGGTGCGGCTGAGTCAAGTAGGTTGTTCCTCCGTGTCCTACTAATTGCTTAACTGATACAAATCGTTATTTTGGACAATACATATGTAGAAAGCCTACGCCTCACTACTACTTAATTAACGGCTAAGCGATTTCATAACCTAAGCTTGAGCAAGATATGCGGAAGATGGGGGGGCTTGCCTCCTCGTTCCGACTTTGGAGTTGGTCTCAGTGGTCAATGAAAATGTACTAGTGAGTTCCACTTCTCAAGGAAAGTCGAGTCTTATAAAAGACGCTACGGCCACTCTATTTATTTTATTTTTCACATAATTAGTTTCTTGTTCAAATCCAAAGTCTTAAGTCGTAGGTGATTTCTATTCATAATTGGTCCTTTTTTTTCTATTGAGTGATTTTTTAGGGGTATTGTTGAGTGATTTGAGATATACCTCTTATTTTTGTTAAATGTTTATGCTATAAGCCAAAGTTTTTTAATATTGACTTCTTCTAATGCCATCAATCTCATTTTCAGTTGGTGAAGATATATTTTTCAAAAGGTAAAACTTGCCATTCTTATTTATTGAAATTCATATTATAGGGCCAAGGGGAGCCAACAACAAGCAATCAAAGCCTTTTTAGGGGAAAAATAAAAAATAAAAAACAAAAATAAAAACAAATTAACAAAAGCAAATATCCAAAAAGCCCCTCTATTTGTTTGTAATATTCTGAAAATTTTTAGGAAATCACAATCCTAATTTCTTCTGTATTTAATAATTGGGTCTGAGTGAGTTTTTTTTTACCTTTTTACTTCAGGTAAGATCAGTTGAGTTTTTAAGTTGGTAGATGAAGATAAGATAGAATTATAACATTCATAAAAATCTAAGCTAATACCAAAACAAATTATTTTTTTAAAGATTAGAGACTACTTTTGTCTCCAATTTGTTTTRTTTTGATTTTGTAAGTATTTATTTAGTCTCAATATTTTTATCTTTTTTTTTCATATACTTTCAAAATTAATGTTTTGGTTTATGTATTTTTGAAAAGTGTCATTTTAGTCTATATTTTGCAAAATTCAACATAATTTTTATATACAAAGAAATTCCTTTAATACAAAATTGTGACACATTTCAAAAGATTCTGGGATTAAAATTGTGAGGGAAAAAAAAGATAAAAATAACAATAATAATATTAAGATGGTCACTTTTTGAAAGTARATTTGCTCGAGGGCTCATGTAATATATAAAGAGGAGCTCCCAATTTGGCCTTTTTGTTTAAGTAAGGGCAGCTCACCTTTTTGAATAGAAGGAAGTGGGATACCAGAGGTAATTTCGGTAAACCGATGCATGAGTTGAAGCTCCCATGTCCTGCCGACCCTTCGAAAAAGTAAAGTCGTCGAACGATTCATAGAAATTCAGAAACAAGTAGAGAACTGAAGCGACATTTAGAAAGTAAAGAGACACTTAAAATTACCTGAACCAAAAAATATTTCAACATTTTTTAGAATACTCAATAGGTACTATTCTATTATTCAATTTCAACAGCATCATAGATCCTAAAATGTGTCACGTTGGAGTAGTTTGCAAAGTGGAGAAGATGGGAGAATAAGGCAGGTGAGAGAGTTAGAATGGGACCCATAACAGTGGTGGATGACCTTCTTTCTTCCTATCTAAGAAAACAAACCTATAAAGCTCGGTAATATTTTCATTTCTTATTTCGACTCGAACACGGCTAGAAATTTGAGTTTTAATATCGGTCAAAAACACAGAAACATAAATAATTGTCAAATACTTTTAAGTGTTTTAATAAAATAGAAAACGAGAATATTACCGAGGAGGGTTTTTTTAGCTTTGACATTCCTCAAAAAATGGTGTTCTTTATTGACCATGGCCAGTTCACCATATCTTGTCGAACATGAAATAAAAGAGAGACATTTGTGGGTTAGTGAAAATCAAAATTCAAAATATCGACGAAATTAATCAAATCGAGTGTGTTTGGTTTGGTTGATTTGATAGACAGGCAATCGGAAGGAAGGAAGGAAAAAAAAACCGACCTATGCAGACAACTTAAGTTATTTGATTCATCAAAGGATGGTGGTTTCAAGTGGTTTCATCATTTCTCGTGGTCTTCAAGGGATAGTTTGGATGACTTACAGTCTCAAAGAATGTCCTTGAGGTTTTTAGTTCAAGTCACATAAAACGCAACTCTAACCAAACAATGACCCTTTATATACGGTTATAAAGAGCAAATGGTTGACCGTGGATAATTAAAAAAAAAAGAAAAAAAAACCAACACATTTCTTATTTCTTATTTCTTATTTATCATTTATCAATTTTGAGAAATATATGTCTTCGGTAATCGGTCTTATTTTTTGTTTCTCTTTTCTTAAAAATATTTTCAAAATTGTATATAAACGTCAAGTTTCCTTTTTTTTTTCATGTTTCCATTTTTTTCAATATCATTTTTTATTTATAAAATGCATAATAAATATAATATATACATACATACATACATATATATATATATATAAATTGTGAATATCTAATTTAAAATTTTAATTTTTTTTAAATTTTAAACATTAGGTAACAATAAACAAAAAAGTTACAAAACATGTTTAGGTAAATAACAATAAATTAGAAGCACCATTCCTATCCACCGCCCTTGTCACAGAGCCGCAATTATCAAACGCAATTTTTTTTATCGTAAAAGAGAAAACAAGAAACAAAAAGATTATCAGACTGGCTTCAAACAATCATTAATCTTGTCTTATAATCGATTTAACTAATCTTTTATCTTATACTCGATTTAAAAGTTTTTAGGGTTGTAGTCTCTACTTTGATATACTTCACATTTTTTAGCCTTTTGTTTCTCGAAAAACCATTCATCTTAAAGTCTGAATTATATGATTATATTATCAACCAAGCAACTATATTTTGTAAGGAATTAATACGTGAATAAATTATTGAGTTGACTAATTATTCATCTTAAAGTTTGATTTAAATGATTATATTACACAACAAGCAACTATGGTCTGGTAAGGAATTAATATGTGAACTAAACTATTAATTTTATACCTTTTTTTGCAACCTTTAAAATTAGTATCTGATTTTACCTAAAAAGGATGAGACCATATTAGATCAAATATTACATTGTTATTGTTTTTTTAGTACAACATGTGGGGGTGTGAGGATCGAACTCGCAACCTCTTGGTTGGAGATATATGCCAATTACATTGTTATCGTTGATGCAAGATTTTGGATGAGGTGTCATGTCAACTTACGAACTAAATAAGCTATGGACAAGATGAGATGGTGACCAACTTAAATTAGTACTTAACTTGAGCTGATTTCAAGCGGAGTTTAATAAAGTTATATATGCACGTTTGAGATTTTTTTCCTTTTTAAGAATTAATTTTAGGAGGTGTAGTCTTGTCATTCTGATGCCTATATATGTCAGCGGATTTTCCGCCAGCACCAGTTGCATTTTCTAGCTAACATTGTGTTAGTGGAATTCTCGTTGGGGGCTTCACTCATTCCGTCACCAAGTTAGGTTATTTCTTAGATTGATGGCGAGATTCTATGAGTCCCACTTCATCCCTCAACTAGTTGAGTTGAGATCTAGCTACATGTTCCTAGACGAATGGTCCACGTGGTAGCCGAACCCACGCATCAAGTAATTGCTTCCGTGGTCAATCTACTAACTGCCCATACATCAAACCTCAAATAATTTTTGATTAAATAAAAGATTGGGACATGAGAACTACTGTGGTAGGTAAAAACTTAGAGAGTATGTTTTGAACTACCTTTGAGAGAATATGCTTTTGAATGAATTTGTTTACCTTTTTGGTGACATTTTTGAAATATTAAGTAATTATAATTGCACACTTTTGGACATATAATAATATTAATTTTAACTTAATATTTTAGTATTATGATGCCTTCAAAAAAGAAAAAGATCATTGGATACCATGTGCAAAATCACCAAAAAATGGATTTGGTCAATTATCAGCCCCAACGAAAATTAGGTGACCGTTAGTCCAAATACAAAAATTTTTAACAAAATAAAATAAACGTTTAAACAATTTCCATTTAAGATTATCTGGAAAGGTATAATTTAACAAAAAAAAAAGTTTTAAGAATTAATTAATAATTATAAAAGAAAAAAATACTTTAGAAATAAGATCTGTAGGGGTGCGCCGGCCCAAGCGGTAGTGCAAGGCATGGGCGACACTCAAGGCCCGGGTAGCAAGCTACCGCGATGGGCTCTCACCCTTAAAAAATAAATTTAATATCATGTGGGCCGATGGCCCACGTATCAGATATTAAACTGATAAGAACGGATACTACACTTGATCTTAGCCAAAAGGCCGAGAAAGGTATGAAATTAACATCTGTATGGAGGCCTATTTTATACTCAGCGTTCAACTCTCGTTTCTGCAGCTCAACCGATGTGGGACAAACTGATTTCCTCATCTCCTCACTCCACGTTCTTTTCACATTTCAAATCCCATCTTCATCTTCCTTTTCTGATACTTTGGTATGGGTGGGATTCGGGAGTTGAACCTCCTTCCACAATGAAATTATTGTATATGTATAATTTTCTCATGAATGGAAATGATAATTTCAATTCAATACTAATATGTAGTTTTAGACTACATTTTAGTACTCTAAAATATTTTAGTCAAAGTGAGTATAGTTCAACGGTAATTGATACATACTTCAAATCATGAGGTTGTGAGTTCGATAGATTGCCACATGAATCATGAGGTTGTGAGTTCGATAGATTGCCACATGGCCAAACCTTCAATAGCTTGGTATAATCCTGCATCAACATGTCTTTATGTTTCCGTTGACTTTTGTTATTGTCATTATTCCAAAATTAATTTTTTTTATTTAATTTTTTTTAGTAAAAATACTATAAGATGAATGGTTCAATATGTAACATGATTTTGAAACCACATAATCCAGAGATGAGTATTCTTTGGGATTAATTACTGATAAATACTAAAATTGTGATTATTTTAGTTTTATTTGATGCGGCATCAATTTTTTTTAGTACAGTTGGAAATAGTTGTCGGATGCACTGAGGCTGTGTTCAAGTAAGACTAAGTGGCATATTTGTAAACCCAGGAATGAAATAGAAATAGAAATAGTTTTTGGTGATGGGTGGGCAGAAAGAGAGAGAGCTTTAAATCTCTATATCCACAGGAAAAGATCAGTGGCCATCCATCCATTCCCACGACACAAAACTGTCCAACAGCAATCCTCTTAGGTCTCACCCTTTTTGGAAGCTCCGGCCATGGCCCTCTCCATTGCTTCCACTGCGCTCTCAGTCTCAACCCTCCCAATCAGGTGAACCCAAATCACAAATCTCCCCCTTTTCCACTTCCCATTTCCCATTCTAATTTTTCTGTTTGGCAACAGAGAATCCCACACCAGACATTTTCCCGGAAAATTCACAAAACACCTCCGCCGAGACTATTCCCATTTGAACGCCGCCAAATCCGGCGTCTCCAGCGTCTGCGAACCGCTCCCTCCCGACAGACCTCTCTGGTTCCCCGGCAGCAGCCCCCCTGAGTGGCTCGACGGCAGGTCAAAAACTCCCTTAATTCTTCTTCTTCAGTCACAGCTTTAATTAACAGGATCCTAATTTCCACATTCTTTTTCCGTTTCTCCGCAGCCTTCCCGGTGATTTTGGCTTCGACCCCCTTGGATTGGGTACTCATCTCTGGAAAATGCATAATTCATAATTTAATCTCTACAATTTTTAAAATTATGAATGGGCTCTGTTGGGGTGTTGTTGTTGTTGTTGTCAGGTTCTGATCCAGAGCTGCTGAAATGGTTCGCACAGGCGGAGCTGATGCACGCCAGATGGGCGATGCTGGCGGTGGCCGGAATCCTGCTACCGGAGTGGTTCGAGAGCCTGGGATTGATCGAGAATTTCTCGTGGTACGACGCCGGAACCCGGGAATATTTCGCGGACCCGACGACGTTGTTGGTGGCGCAATTGGGTCTAATGGGGTGGGCGGAGGGGCGGCGGTGGGCGGACATGGTCAACCCGGGGAGCGTGGACGTTGACCTGAAACTGCCACACAAGAAGAAGCCGGCGCCGGACGTGGGCTACCCGGGCGGGTTCTGGTTCGACCCGATGATGTGGGGGAGAGGGTCGCCGGAGCCGGTCATGGTGCTCCGTACCAAGGAGATTAAGAACGGCCGCCTCGCCATGCTGGCGTTCGTCGGACTGTGGTTTCAGGCCATTTATACCGGCCAAGGCCCGCTCGAGAATCTGGCGGCGCACCTCGCCGATCCCGGCCACTGCAACATTTTTTCGGTAAATTAATTAATTAATTTTTTTCTTTTTCTAAATGCGACTGAAAATCATGAAATTGAAAAATCTTTTTTTGTGCAGGCGTTTAGATCGGGTTGAGTTGATCTCCCACAGAAGGCAGAGATATAAAAGAAAGAATTTGTAAATTGTGACCATTATAAAATATTTGGGTGTCTATTGATTTTCTATTGGTAATTTGGAACAATAATTAACATAGTGTTTACTAAATATTTAACAATGTGATGTAGTTTTAGTCCTCTATACATATACATATATACATACATATATATTATTGTATTTAATTGATTACTTGTTAATACTATAATATTTTAACTAATACAATATGCTACATCATAAAGGCAAATATTTTTCTTGAAGAGACCTTGATTTGCATGTTTTTCTTCATTTTTTTAATATATTGTTTTAAATCTCATTGGGATGCTTTCAAGTTTTTTTTTTTCTTTTTTCTTTTAAATTTCGTTTGTAAGCTTTTTTTAAAAAACCATTTTATTCCTCTTTATTTTGATTTTTACAATTACAAACATATATCTTCATGTGTATTCACCTGTTGAGGTAATATTAAATGAGTAGATATGAGATGGCAAATTAATAATAAAAATCAAAGTGGTATTTTTAAAGTACAGACTAAATATATATATTTTGAGAGTCTTGGAACAAAAATGAAAATTTAACCTTTAATTTTTTCTCTCAGTCAATTTGAAAGCTTAGTTCATATATTTAGAATGACTTTAGCTTAACTAAAAACTGCATGTTTATTATAATAATAATAGTTAATTATAAATTTAGTCTCAAATTTATGTGATTGAAATTTAAACTTTTTTTATTACATTCTCGAATTTTTTATTTTGATTATAATAATTATTTACACTATTAACATCATTTCTTAAACATTTCACTCACGAAATAAATTTTTTTTTTTATGTTTTTGACATGGCATAACCAAAGTTAAAGAATTTAGATAAAATGAAAACACTAATGGTGAAAAATAAAAACACAAGTTTTAAAAATGAGCATTGTTTTGTTTTTCTTTCCCATGAATCCAAAATTTATTAATTTTGAAATAATTAAAATAAAATTTTAATAAAAGAATTTCTTTGAGACGAAATAAACTAGAAATGAAAGTAAAATTTGCGGGTAAAAAATATATTTTGTACTACTACTAATTGAATAATTTCTTTACATGATTAAATGCCTAAAAGAAAAAAGAAAATATTGGCTGTCCAAACGCCACGTGGCGCTAAATATAGCGCTACGTGGAACCTAGTATTCTCTGCACTTTCTTCTCTTTCTATTCATCTAATTAACAAATCGCAGACTCACCTCCTCATTTCCACTTTCCGGAGCGGCGGACCGACGGAGATATGTATCGAACGGCGGCGAAGCGTCTGATAATCGGCGTAACCTCCGGCAGAAACAGCATTTCCCGTCTCAGATTGCGTCCGTTTCCCACATTCGTTGACCATTGTCTCTTCTCCACAGCTACCAATTCGCAAGAATTTGCCGATTCTCAAATCCCCAATCAACAGCATATTCGTCGAGAAACCCCTATTTACTCGGATTCTGCATCTTCTTCGTCGTCTTCGTCTTCTTCTTGGTCCGCATCAACTGCGGGAGAAGAAAGTAGAAGCCATGAGAGTCGGAGACCGAGAGTCGAGTATCAAGAAGAGCAAGCTCGCGTCCTTCAGGCCTCTCTTTCCCACGTGGTTTGTGTTCTCATTTCATCTATTTTCCTTCTCGCTCATTTATTCAGCTGCAATTGGAAGTTCTGGATAGCCAAACGATGCCCCTTTTTGATTCTTCGTCAGAAATTTTATTGAGGGTTCCAGATGGATTATATATCATATTATTACTTTTTGGATAACTAATCCTAGATTTCTTCACCAATTACTGTTACTAGCATCTAGTGCTGCCATTGTGGAATGAATTCCAGAGTTCTTTTGGTCTTTCAAGTCAAAATGACATTCGTGAAATATTACAGGTGAAGCTGGGATGGACTGAAGCCGCAATGATTGCTGGTGCAAGGGATGTTGGCATCTCACCTTCAATTGTTGGATCCTTTGCGAGGAAGGAAGCAGAGTTGGTTGAGGTATGTTTTTTTCCATCTCTCATTATTGGGTTTCTTGATTTCTTTCACTTCCTACTTTACGTATTGGACAACCCATTTGGATCATTATCATGTGTATTTCTCAGATACTGAGCACTGCCCCCAATGAGCCTGAAGTGTTCTTAGTCTGCCTATTACTTGAAAATTTATAGGCTTCATACTTTGTGGTCTTAGTTTCTTAGATGTCTGTAAAATCTTCTATGCGAGTCTGGAGATGTGGCACTAATTTTATCTCTTCTGTGTACGGCTAAATCTCCCGAAAAACTTGCTTGTCATTACATTGAGTATACACAATCACGTTATTTATTTATAATTTGTTTCTAGTAGTTTCATTATTTTAAATGTAATTGGCCTGAGATATGGATGATCTTATTCAGCTGTCACAAACAACCATAGGCAGAGGGTTTAATCTCTTAACTTTTTGTACTAGCAAGCTAGGATTCTTTTTTATGCTGTTCTGTTTTGCAAACTAGCCCCAAGTTCCTATTCGAGGTTCATTCGTTTGATTAGTTATGTGCTGAGAGATCATTTGTAAGTTGTAAAATGGTTAAACTGGGTTTAATTTGTTTCTCCCTTCTAATAATCTGCAAAATTGGGTCAAGGGATTTACATTCTTTCCACTTTCAGTTTTTCATGGACGACTGCTTACAGCAGCTTATCGATCTAATTGACTCAGAAGAGTGCCTTAAGAATTTGATACCTCGTGAATGCATTTACAAGCTTGTTAGGGCTCGCCTAGAAATGCAAGCTCCCTTCATATCAAAATGGCCTCAGGCTCTTAGTATCCAGGTAGCATTCCCAGTACAGTATTATCCTTGACATCTTTGACATGGAATTCCTAATCAGAATTCAGAAGCTTAAAGTGTAGTAGTAGTTATGAGTTCATTCTGCAGGCACAACCAGGAAATTTATCAACTAGCTTCAAACAACGGGCAACGCTTGTTGATGAGATCTGGCATGCTGCTGGCAGTGATACTTCTGACAATGATTGGTACGTCAAGCGTACTATTCTGGGAGGAATATACTCAACCACTGAGATATACATGCTCAGTGATAGCTCTCCAGGTGTGTTTTCTCAAGTTCCCCGACTTTGGCTTTGGGTTTGCATTAATCCAAAAGTTTTTTCCTTCTATGTTCTCTTCCTTGGTGGATGAATTGTTATATACACCGTACCTAAAAGACTTTCTACTCTTTGTAATTACATACTGGATTTTTTTTTTCCTTAACCTCTTTGCCTTTGGTTCTATTCTTTAATGTCACTAATCATTGATAGACACAGCTTGCAAACTTCTCTACAATGTGTCCCATTGATAGCCTGCCTTTTTTTTTCTTCCCTGCAGATTTTCAAGATACATGGGCTTTCCTGGACAATCGTTTAAAAGATGCTTTTGATTTAAAGAAAACTGTTCAAGAGGTATCATTTAGGCACTTTTTTATTCTGCAGCTTCTAATATTTCCTTGTTAAGGTACTTCTCTGAAGTTCAAGGTTTTTGCTACATATTGACTGAGGTTATGCAGGCAAAGTATCTGGCAGAAGCTGTTGGTGCTGGAATGGGGAACTCTTTTCAGGGACTTTTTAGAAAAGTTTTCCAAGCATAGATATTGGACTGCAACTTTTAAGTTTCTAAAGTGAGGAGTCGGCACCGTGCCTTTCATTATAGCTTCAGGAGGTGTGACCAGAAGTAGAAGTTGATGAAGGTGAACAGAGTTTTGAACTGTAAGCTCTAATCATTAGAACTTTGATATCACTATGTTTTTTTCAGAAATCATCAGTTTCTATTCTCAGTTCTTGTTACCAACAAGGGATGGTATTCTGGTACCCATTATTATCATGACTATGATTTTTTGTGTTACATGCATAATGTTAACATTTTCTCTATAACCTATGTAAGATATACAAAGTTTGGATAAGGCTATGGAAGAAAAATGATTCACTTCCTTATGTGATATGGAGGTACAGAATGAATTTGATGTTCAATTTTTCTGTATTATTAGTAGGCAAAGATGGCATGCAAATGACCAGGATATGCTCATTTTGATTCATCTCTCTTTACTTCTTTCGTGTCATTAGCAAATCTAATTGACCTATCGAATGTATACAAGTCCATTTTTGTAACGGCCTAGGCCCAGGATTTAGATAAGGATTTAGATAAGAGTTTATCGGAAGCTTAAGCTTGGGGCATTACGACTTTTGAAACATTACTTTCCGAGATCTCCTTTTGTTGCTAATCTTTACCTGATTCCAAATGAATCTGGTCATATGCTTTTGGCATATATGTGATGAGTTCTTGTATGATATATATGTTAATCTAATCTCGAATATTTGAAGAGATTTCTAGCATAGATTTTGTTGGATCAATCTGAGAATCCGGTTACATATTATTTGTTGATTAAATGTCATATGAAAATTTAACAAAAATTTCAATACTCAAATAGCTACCTCCATTTTTTTTTATATAACCGAAGATTAATGGTGTTTGTTTATTTAAAGTTTCTTCTTGAATAATTTTTTTTGCACCTCTACATTTCTGTGAACTCAAAGGTAATTACTTCTCGTTCAAATCTCTTAAACCTTTCTTGGGACGTTATATTTTTTCAATTTAGTCTCTCTTATGTTTTTAATATTTTTGATTTAGTCCATTGATGATGGTAAAAGGTTAAAATGGTTGATGGTAAACTTACCTAGAATAGTGATGGGCAAAAACTTACGAAATGAAAAAAGTCTATCTAAGAGAAGAAAATTTAAAATGTCTACCTATTTTCTAGAAACTTAGAAAGAGAGTTAAAAGTTCTCTTTCAAATGACCTTTTTCATCTAAATTTCTGTGAGTTAATTTCACTCGGGATCTGTTTAAACTTTGTAATCTCATTTTTATAATCTCATTATACTCCTACAATTTCATCAATATTATTCTCATTTTTTATTTTGTGGACCTCACATATATATTATAATTAGTTTATAACTTTTATCCTCTCAGTCCTTTTTATTTAATTTTTTATACTTTTATAATTTTTTCTCCATTTAAACTTTAATTTTTATTAATTGATGTGATTTTATTGTATAATATTATAAATTTCTATTAATTAATATCAATGGATATTTTATTTGATGTAATTTTATTTTAATTATTCATTATTTATTAATACAAATGGTTATAATAAAAAAATATAGAAATAAATTAACTTAAAATTTATTATTATTGTAAATAAAAAATATTAGCACAACAATGTATTTGTAATTAGCTAAAGAGGAGAAAGGGGTATGCTTATTATATATCTGATTCCAATTCTTATTTCACACAGTTTGATTAATAACATTTTCATCCTGTTTAATTTTGATTCATTCCTATTACAATTGCAGATAAGTAAACGACGTCTAAATTTTGTTTAGTAAGCAATATGTTAGTATAGAGATGACAGCCGAGTAAAATTGGAAATGAACGTTCCACTAGAATACAATATAGAGGCCACCGGATTACATTTTCTAAGGTTGGTAAAATGATTTTGTGGTCAAAATTCAAATGAGACCGTTGACTTTCTATTTTCTTGAAGAAAATATAAATAATAATAAGACCATTAGGACGGATAAAAAAAATTATATATATAAACTGTTTTTATAAAAACAGTTTCAAACTCAGCCAGTGACACCAGTCAAGAAAAATAATAAAAAACATATAAAATTGTAGAAGTCTGGAAGACTCCTTCAGTAGCACATACCAAAACAAATATCGCTCAATGGTAATTGACATTACCTCCAATCATTAAGTTGTGAATTCGATCCCCCGTCCCCACATGTTGTACTAAAAAAATAAAACTCTCCATTTATTATTAGYACTGATCGGAAATTGTTCGATTCAATAACTACCTACTAATCGGAGCCCACAGATTAATGAGAACGATTTTTTTTTTCCTTTTATGATTTTAAGGAGAATGTCCCTCGAATATGATTCTCAAGGAAGGAATAAGATTTAACATAAATCTTAATTCATTAAATAACCTTGCAATATGAATCAACTCATTGTTTATAGCTTTGAACATATATATTTTTTAGTTCTATAATTGCAATGACAGAGAATCCTTCATTGGAAAATTATAAATTAGGAATGAAAATTTATTTATTTTTACATAGACAACATTTATTATTATATAAATAAATAAAATAACATCAAACAAGAAATGATTTTGACTCCATCGAATAAAATGATTTTTCATGCAAAATTTAGATCTAATAAACAATACTACATTTAATATATTTTTCTTGAAATGTAAACGTAATTTTATATTAAAGAATTTTTGTTACCTGTATAATTTATGTTAAAATTTAAAAATTCAAATTAAAATAGTCATTTATTTATAAATAGAGTATTTAAGATAGATATTTTAAAAAATGTATATATATATTTTTTCTTAAAAGCACTTTTTTGCTTTCCCGCTGTCAAGCATACTGATTTCGAGGGAAGAAAATCAACACCCCGATAATTCAGAATTCAGATCCTGAAAACACAAGATCCTGTATCTGTGGTGATTCTCTGTGAATCGTTTTTGCTCGAAATATGGCTACTGCATCAGAAATTGTAGCGAAATTGGATTTGAAGCCACATCCGGAAGGCGGATTTTACTCTGAAACTTTCAGGGACTCATCCGTTCATCTCTCCAAAACTCACCTCCCACCGCAATGTAAGTTGATCCACCTGACTTCCATTGATTTCTCTGTTGTCTCTTCGTTTTGACTGGATTTGGTTGCACGGAATCAAAGATCGAGTCCTAATTCCAGATTCTTCGCTTTACTTTGCTGGATTTTATCGTATCTACCCCCACCGAGAACATGATAGTGAATACTTTGTCTTGTTTTCCGGAAATTGAAATCGAGAATAAGTATGATCTAGCAAACTTGTTGCTGTTCTTCGTTGGCTAATTTGTCGTCTATCGAATTTTCCTCTTCATGTTTGAGTTTCTTTCTTACGCGCTCTCAGAACAATCTTTTTAGTTGATTTTAACTTTATGGCGATGCTTGCAGACAAGGTCGGTCGAGAAGTCAGCACTTGTATTTACTTTTTGGTGCCTTCTGGATGCGTGTCAGCCCTTCATCGGATTCCATGTGCAGAGACTTGGCATTTTTACTTGGGAGAACCTCTTACGGTAGGTTTCTAATCATAGAGATATCATGAAGTACTGTTTTGTCTATGTTTTTGATAAGACTTTTCATTATTCTGCCATTGATACTTCATTTTTCATTTACTTTCAAAAGATTTCTTGCTTCTGATCAGATTTTTGTTAGATTCGACTTCTCTTTCCTCCTTTCGACACTTCTCGAACAATTAGATGATGGGATAAGTTCAAACTTCAAACAGAGGCAACTGATGCTGCGTACATGAACACAGTTTAGCTTTTGCATTCGTGATGATTAAGATACTAGACTTGGACAGTTGCATTTATTTGTATGCTTAAAGGAAAACAAAATCTAGTTGGATTTGCATTAATTGCGCTGTTGCTTATAATCGAGGGGGAAGGTTGTAATTAGGGCTGATTTTCTGCTACCAACTCATTTAATTTGTACCTCCCCTCATTTAATGCTTTCAAGTTTTGCTTTATCCCAGTATTGGTAGTCTTCTCTATTCTTTTCTAGCCTTTATGATGATACTATCCTTATTATTGTTGTTGTTATTACCTTGATTTTAGATATTGGAGTTGAATGACACAGACGGTCGAGTCAAATTGACTTGTCTTGGGCCGGATCTCATTGGAGATAATCAATTACCTCAGTATACAGTGCCTCCTAATGTATGGTTTGGTTCTTTTCCGACCAAGGACTTCACTATTTCTGCGGATGGAACTGTGACTAAAGCTGCTCCTAGGGACTCTCAGAATCACTACTCACTAGTGGGCTGCACCTGTGCTCCTGCTTTCCAGTTTGAGGACTTTGAGTTGGCAAAACGTTCGGACCTTGTTTCACGTTTTCCCGATAGTGAGGCTCTCGTCTCTTTGCTCACACCAGGTGCCTGATTCAACTGAGGAGCGCAGGGCTTCCAATGATGAGGGGATCGGCATTGTATGTTGTGATTTATGATCTTTACTCATTTTAGTTCCCCCCCCCAGTGTAGTTGCAGATTTCATTCAGTGTATTGTATTCTAGTGGAACCTTTTTTGGCTTGATAAAGCTACTGATAATGAAAAAGGGCTCTTTTTCGAGCTCCACCCTTGAATGTTGAAATCCTTTTCGGGTTGAATCTTGCAAACCCAATGTATTTTCAGGTTTAATAGATGGTCCCCACCTATACAGGAACAGAAATGTACCCATTGAAAAAAAAGAGAAAAAATGGGGGAGATAGGGACCTTACCTCTCTCTTTTTGCGAGTTCAAGTGTAGAGAATATTGGTCATTTCTAAAGTTCTTGCTGGCTTCTCTGGTCATGATTGTATGTTACAAATTAGACATGTCACTAATTTGTCTTTGGCCACTCTATTGTTCTCTCTCTTTTGAACATGTCAGAATTTATGGTCATCTACCTTCATATGCTTCATGTGGAGCTGTACTAGAATATTTGCAAAATAACAATGCTGAGAGTTTCTGGGGGGAGCTTAGGCGTCTTACATATGACTCAGCTTTGTAATACGAAAGGTGGGATTTCAACATCTTTTACTTTTAGGGACAAATTCTGGTCCTTTTAGAGAGGAATGTTACAAAAGAATTATCAACACAATGGAGTCCCTTTGTTTTGATATTCCGCGCGGGTTTTATATAACAGATGTTGCAATTGCGATGAACATCTCCAGTTATTCAATTGCATGTTCAAAAGATATCAATGTAGTAGTTTCCAAAAAGATAAACTCAAGCTCAGTTTCAATTGCCTCCAAATTGTTAGATAAATACAACAGCTAAACATTCAAACAGACAATCAAGCAAGCGAGCGAGAAAATGATATCTTGTTATCTTTTCTTTCGCAGAGGCACACATGGCAGGTAGCAGCTACTCAGATCTCTAAAACGATATCTGCACAAGAAAATGGAAACAAACAATCAGGTTAGTCTCTAGAAGTAGGACAGTACTAGAATTCTATGTGTATTATTGGGAAAAACATGCATGGTTGATGGAACTAGAAAGTTGATCGACAGGATACTGTTATAATGCTAACACTAACATTCAGAATCAGTCTGGACCCATTTACTTCCATCGACAGTCTTTTCGTTCTTTTCGTCTTCGTTTTCATTGTTGGGCATACTTTTCTTTCTCAGGTACTTTTTCATGGATGACGTTCGGACATTGGAGCTTTGGGGATATATCTTCCGATGGAGTATTGTCCTCAACATCTGTTACATACAGAAACAAGCGTCAGATTTTGAATATAAAAAGTTATCAACACTGATCCTACCAGAACAGCAAGCAGAGAGTACAAGGAGGAGCATTGATGCATGTTCCTGGTTTTACCTTCTCCATTTTAGACTCCAGATTCGGGATTCTCAGAGGAGGAGCAACCGCAGCATGTGCGCTACCACCTCCGCAGATGAAAATCTTTTTGAGAAGGAGAGATAAAGTCCTTTTGCCAATAACGGTAGTGTCGAAATCTTCCACACCAACATCTTTGCCTTTACTGAGTATGACATGCTGGAAACTATCGCTCTTCTCATTCAACTCATCGTGATATGGTTTGTTCTTTGTTGTTTCAAATTCGAAGCTTGATTGTCTGCTAAGAAATATGTTTGATTGACAATGCTTTCTTACTTCGAGTTCCAATGATGGAGACGATTGCTTGAGGTGTTCATCTAATAATATATTGAACTCTTTCTGAAGTTTTCTTAGTTCTTCAGGTGTAAGATCTTGAAGGTGCTGTTGCAGGGAAGACGATGGATTCTCTCGAGACCTCTTCGTGTGTGCTTGATTCAGATTCTCATCTCCAAACGTACCGATTGCCAGCAACACATGAGGTCCATTGTTGAATTCTTCTGGGTGAGTCTTGTGCACCGTTTCATCTGTTTGAAAAATAACTTTTAAGTGACTTGCACTCATCATCTAAAAGAATCAAGAATGAATTCTCCAAAAAGAAAGGAAAAAAAAGGGAGAGGTAGTCTTGTTCACCCTTGATTGAATTCGATGTAGTTCTTTTGCTCCCCTTTCCACCATTTGGCTTCTTCCCTTGCATCCAATTCAATATCTGCATACAAAAATAAGTCATTGTTAATCACGAAGAGTAGAGCACCACACCAAGTTTTTAAGTAAAGTTTCAGTAACTTACCCTCATCTGTCAAAAGTCGAGTTCACAACAGGATGCGCGCTCTTCTTCTCCCTCTTCGTGGCCTCTAGTTCGAGTTCAAATTCTTGTTGATAAGGCTAGGTAGATAGAGCCTGGTCTAGAGAGAGAGTTTCACGAGAGAAAATGACCACCTTTAATTTTGGGCTATGGATCCCACAGCAGGCACAAGGATCGCATACACCAAGGCAAGATGAGTGCAAAACACTTTATATAGTGAAGAGAAATGTGAGAAATTCCACAACCAAAGTACTAGCTGCCACTGTTCAAGTTCCAAAACGCTGACTCTCTCTCTATCTTTCTCTCGGGTTTGTCACATCTTTGCCTCCTAATTACAATGTCTTTTTCCCTCGTATTCATATTCAATCTCTCGTCTTTCCCATCAACTTTGATCATAAGGAAAGAGCATATAGATCGTTCTCGCTGTCTGTACACCACCTCATCATTTTAAGCAACCATATAGCTGCCTTGCCCAACGCATCAATACATCACATGTGAAAAAATTCTAACTTTATATCAGGATCTTTACTCAACCCAGTATTTGTTTCCTAGCCCAACACAGCTCGATCATATCACACTCGAAAATCACACCGTCAACTGCATCAAATGCTGCTGAATGGCACATCAAAGAGTATCTTTAGAACCGTTTTTCATTTTGAGTTATACATTTCACTGCTTCCATTATTAATTACTTTGTGTGAATCTTATGATTATCAAACTCATGCAGAAAATCCGGGGGCCTGCTGTGGCTGCAAGTGCACGAAGAAGATGGACAACGAAGAAAAGGACAGCGACTGAGCTATCACGCACGAAGAAGATTTGAAGAAGAACATCCTCTTTATCAGAAATATAAAATAATATATATATATATGGGTGGCCAATGGAAAGAGGTAGCTCTGGTTGGTACATATCAGATACGTTATATATATTATATTATATAGCCCACCTTCTCGTGGGGATGTCTCTCACTAACCGAACCATCAGGGCGCACCTCCTGAATCTCATTTACATTGGTTCTAACACCAAATATATATTTTTTTAAAGACCATTCTCAAACTTCAACCATTCCCGTCAAATTCCTTCCCCGGTTGCTAATATACAACATTTAAATAAATCAGAGGAACGGTGACCATGCTAAGAAATATGCAGGGCACCTTTTGGGCACGTGAAGCTGTCCATGGCAGCATTCATATGGGCGGTGGTGGACCTCTAACCAGCCCCATATCGACCATCTGATGAGTCTTTACAAGAGGAGCAGGTGAGAATTGTATACAAATAATGCTTGTTGAATAAGGGCCCAACGTTTCGGTGTCACTCCTCCCTTCAAATAGTATCTTAGAGATTGTTTAAAGAGATTAAAGTTTATACTAATCATGTCTATTAACAAACACTGCTGTAGTGATTATGTTTCTGCTGTAGTGATTATGTTTTCTTTGGTTTTTGATTATAGGTGGATCTCGAAATAACGCATTCGAATGTCTCGTTGTCTTGAGCTAAGAAACCGTAGATGGAAGCTTGTTACAAATAGAAACCAACTTACAGATGGAATCGGAGAAGGCTGGTGTGTACCTCAACTTGTGCCATTTGCAGGCAGCAATTGGCTTAAATTCCACATGGGACCATTGCATTGAGGGCATCATTAACTAATCAGAAACTGAAAAGAGTTGAAAGCTCAGAAGCGACAATATATGTCATAAATTTGAATACTTTTCAAGGTGTGATGTTTGTTTGTGAACATAGTGGAAGTAGATGTTTGATTACAAGCCATTGTGGGACTTCCAGAAGAGAGAACTAAAGAAGGCACTCGTTGTATACAAACTAGTTTACATATTTGGTTTACAGCAGTAATCAGGTATATTGACTGTTCTAATCCTATTTTGAACTCCGGGTCTTAGTACATGTCACACAATTCGTTCAACGAGCTGTGTAAAAGACACTGCTAATGCAGCTAAAATGACAAACCTTGTGTAAATTTTGTATCAGGTATCTATGTACCACTAGTAGTGTCGCAGCACATCTCTAAACAACAGTCGAAACAACCGAAGCAGGCAAAAGCAGTGCAGAGTTGTGTCAACAGAATTGCGCATTGATTATTGATGCTGGAGCAGGCTTCTATGCAGCAGGGGCAACAGCAGTAACCACACAGATTGCTACAACAATTAGAAGCTGCTTTGACGAATATTTCCGCAGCCTCAGCCTTTCTTTCTCCGGTCCCATGGGGAGTGTTCTCAGCAGTTGCTTCCAAGTTTCCAAAGCCAACACCACAGAATGGTAACAGTATCATTTTGTCATCTTTAGGTGCTACCATTTTCTCATAAGAATTCTTCTTCGACTGTGAAGTTATAATAGGTAACTGAATAATTAATAACTGGTTGCCTGCAATTCAGAATTGTAGTCATGTAGGTGGAAAGCTATGCTCACCTGTTGCACTTTCATTGATTCATTGCCTCTGTCTCCGCTCTGAAATATGACCATTCGAGTATACTCACTCATTACGCCCGTTTTTACGCTCATCTTTTCAACCTAGAAGGTATGAATGAAGCATCAGTTATCATCTCTATAACTCTATTATAGCAAATCTCCATCTCCAAAGAAGTTCAGTGCTAAGAAAATGAAATGGGAACAGAACAGGGGCAAGTCACAAACCGTCTCCACCAGTTGTTTATTTTCTGAAGACCAGGCCTCAGCTGTAAGTTGTTCAATTTGGTCTTTAGTAAATATCTGGAAAAGAAGAAAAATCAAAAGAATGGTTAATTTACACCTTATGTGAAGCTAAAATACAAACCTTGCCATTTACCCTTCTTTAGTTGGCCAAAATATAAGAAGTTAAGGTAACTTTGATCATATTATGGAGATTCTCTACCTTGTCAAGTGGTATATCCTTTGCCTGATGTACCTTCAAGTCTAGGACAATGTTATCCAAATTGCCCAAGAGGCCTTTTGCCTTGGCAATCTCGGGAAAATTTCCGCGGTATCTGCCAGATACAGTGAGTAGACTCTCAGAAGAAAGGTCTGGAATAAAGGAAGGATAAACCTAAAACAGAAGTTCAGAATTAGAAAATGAACAATGTATAAAAATTATCATTTTGACTGCAGGAAAGTGCATGGCCTAAATATGAGATGAAAATGTATCCAAGGAAATTTTACAAAAACAGAAGAACGTGCATACCTTGACTTCATCTAGATCGTGATCATCGAACGAGTCTATAGATATATTTACAAGAATAGCAGACGTAGCTCTTTCATACAATTTCTGCATTCGGGGTTCAATCGAATCTGAAAAATGAATAAGTTGTAGAAGCGTAAGTCTAAGTTGTACAAAGTGGGAAAGCAAACTGTTGCTATCCCTTCAATTAAAAGAATAACAAATACAGAAGATAGAGTTCATGAATTTAATCAATGATATTCAGATTCAAGAAGGATTGGAATTGCGAGTTGCGACTAAAACATGTCGATGAATGTTGCATATGATCACGGTCAATATATTCCATAATTAATAATTTCAAGAATACTTTTTGTGTGAAGGGTAAGTCCTCAAAGGAGGGAAGAAATTGAGTGAATTACAGAACTCACCTAATTCATAAGCAGCATCATACTGACCCCTGCCAATCATCGCAAGCATCCTTAGAAAATAGTGGTTGCAAAATGTACCTGGTAGACACACAAGCATAAGGTCGAATCTAAAGGTCGTGGTACCGAGAAGAAACATAGATACACGCACAAACATCGAAACAACTGTTATGAAACTTAATTTTAACAAGGACCACCATATAATTCACAAAGTTGAAACAGTCACAGATAGACAAAGTTTTCAGGCAGCTTGCCGATCTTTCGAGTTCGAGCTTAAGACCAGAGACAATACCTATACCGAACGTATATATACGTGGACAAACGGATTGCTTTTCTGTTTGATTTTTCCGCATCACATCACAAATATGTCTTTCATTTTCAACAGCACCATCAGTAACAAGAAAGATGATGGGAACTGCACCAGCTTTACCCTCATCACTCAGCATCTCGGTGGCCTGGAGAATTAAGCCACCAGAAATGTTATGCTACTGAAGTTGAGATATTTCAGTAGTAAACAATGAAAAGAAAAGATTGATTGACCAAGTTAGTGAACAAATAGACATGCCACTAAATCAAAAAATAATAACTCCCGCCATCCCTTTTTTTTCATAATCGGGGTATCGGGGGCCCGCTCTTGTATTATGCTTATGCCCCACCTCCTCGGGGCCCAGCGTCGTATACATTATCTAAGTGACTATTTTACCAATATGTAGTAAAATACTCAACCAAACAGTAGCTATACAAATTGTAGACCTATCAGTATTAAGAAGGTAAGTCGCTTTGAAAACATGGTTTTATAGCAGCATCTGAAAATCCCTGATAATAAAAAGATCCATATGCAGAATAGAGGAAAAAGAAGTAAAATTGGAGACCTTTGTCAATGGGAGTAGAATATTAGTGCCACCCCCTGCAAGAAACTTTGTATTTATCCACTGAAGGGCGCTTTCAACAGCATCCTTGGCGGCCATCTCCATGGATTCTGAGAATTTATGAGCTTCGTCGTTGAAAGCAATAATATTAAACTCGTCTTCTCCGCGAAGCTTACTCAAGGCTGTGGATAGTACATTTTTCACATCATCAAGTGCCTTGCCTTGCATACTTCCACTTATATCAACAACAAATACTATCTTCTTTCTGAACACCTGTTGATAGTTAAGATGAGAATCTATACAATACTTTCAAGGGATTAATGACAGATTATAAAGCCCCAGCATACCTTTCCCTGTACATTTCCTGGGTATAAGTACATACAGAACATCTCTCTTTGATCAACATCATCTGCAGGAGGAGATTGCAGGAGAACACCACCAGATATTTGACTTGAAGAGACCTAAAACATGCAAGAAGAACAAGATTCAAAAAATTTAAATGGGATTGTCTCTAGACTTTAAATACCAAACTACTAATATTGGTGAATGTGGAACATACACTGTATGAGAAGCTAAGATCAGTTTTTGACCATGAGAGAACTTCCGCTTCGTAGACAAAGCCCAGTTTTCCGGGTTTTCTCATCGATTCCTGAACCCATTACAGAGAACATCACAGACTAGAACAACAAGCAAAAGCATCAATTAATTAATCAATGGAGTGCAAACCTTTAAAGGATGACTCGTTGTCTTGCACAAAACCTCAATTGCAGAGCCAACATTCACATTTAACGCTATCTTCTCCTTTTTCGACATTTTCTTTCCCGCAGGGATGACATATTCAGGAAAGGTAAATGGAACATTCAAGGTGAGATTGCCTTCGCCGTATAATAGCTTCTGAGACCAACTGATGGTAATAGACAAAGTGGTGCCCCCATCAATCTTAAGCACAGGAGAAGACAGAGTTTCCATAAGTTCAAACAATCAAAATCAGTAGCACTTATAAACTAAAAAATGCTGTGGGGTTGCGTTTATCACCTGTGGAATTGTGAGGGTATATATATTAGAAGTCAGAAAACCTCCATCTACACGTTCTGCTTTTTCTGCAGCATTTTTATTTTTGTCTTCAAGTGCAATAAGTGAAGTACGAAATGATTTTCTAGGAGCGTCGATCTCACAACCTAGAACTGAACCCTGTTAGCCAAATAATATAGTTCCCTGAGAATGCAATACAATGAAAAGATGACGGAGAGACCCACAAACCAGACACGCTATAAGAATACATTATCTTCCAAGGAAAAAAAGAAAAAAACCCCAATTTTTTGGCGTCAAATTCAAGGTAAGGGCCATTGGGATCACGATTCTTCAGGTAAATTAATAAGACCAGAGGAAATTGAACAAACTAGATTGTAATTGAGCCCTATAATTGTACGAGAAGAACCCAACACAGATTTCGAATCCGAATTTACAGAAGAGGCAATTCAGAATCCCCAAAAGTTAATTTCAGGAGAGAAAATACCTGTTCCCCCATTGGGATCGCAATGCGGCAATCGCAGCTGCGACTACCCATGACGCAGTGAACCCTCCAAGAGCCAGTGATCCGAATAATGGCGGTATCCAAATAGCAATCAGCCTCCAGCTCGATTCCGTTCATCTGAAGCGGAATCAGAGCCGGTGGGTCGCAGCGGCCATGAACGTGGGGCTGGTAGCTCGGAATATCGGGGTTATCGACGATCCCAGGATCACCGATGACGGCATAAACCATGGGAGCCGTAGGGAGAAACGAGTGATCCAATCTATCCATCGTGGGGAGCGATTTCGGAGGCGCGACGGCTCGGTCTTTGCCGAAGTACAGTCTCTTCGAAAGACGGAGGCCATCGTCGACGGCTCTGGCGAAATCTTCCGCCATCGAAGGACGGAATTCGGGAAGACGAAGACGAAGACGAAGAAATTGGAAATGGAATGCTCGAAAAACGATTCGATTCTCGTTTTCTTCGCTATAATTTATTGGGATTTCTGGTTCTGTTAATCATTCAAGTTTAAGGCATCGACTTTTTGTGGAAAGAATGGGACTTTTTTTTCCTTCCTGTGAAGATTTCACGACGCAATTCACAATGATGGAAAGTTATTAGCTTTAATTGTTTTTTTTTTCAAAAACAGAAGTTGTTTTTATGCTAAACGATTTAATCAAGTGGGACCCGTTTTATAACGGTTGGATTCTTTTTTTTTTTTTTTTCTTGAAACCGGGTTGGATTTATTTTTTATTTCTTTAATGAAAATAAATTCTTAAGATAAGATCAAAGGATGGATTTTAATATATAAAAAATAGATGTTTTTGTCTTTTTTTTTTCCCTTTTAGACGTCTTTTAGATTTAATCTCTAGGAATGTTTCTATTTAGTTTTTTATATTTTAATAATTTTTAATTATATATTTACCATCAATGATTTTATTTTATGCATTTACTATAAAAATGATAAACTTTAATGTCATGATATTTGGTGAGCTGGGAGAAATGTGGATTCTTCATTTAAGAATAAATTTTGTAATTTATTAGAATTTGATTGAAATCTCGATTCTGGTTAGGTAAAAACAATTTTAGAAAATAAAAGTGAAATATATTTAAATTTTTTTAAATATAATATTAGGCGAAGGTGAAGATCACATCTTTAAAATTTGGAAATAATAAAAATAAAAAGGTGCTCCTGTATGAAAAATAATTCGATCCTATCTAAAAATGAAGTATCAATAAAAATCATCATAAAGAATTTGAAAATAATAAATAGTAATCTAAGACAAGACAATTAATTAAAAATAATAATAATTTAATGTAAAATTTAAATGGGCCGGGGGGCCCACGCGGACAGGACACGGTGGTGGATGTGTGAACGGGAAGGATCGAGATTTTTATTTTTATTTTCGTTTGTTTTGATTTTGTATTAAAAAAAACTATTTTAGTTTATATATTCTCAAATTTTATTTATTTTATTCTATATATTTTTATATACCGCTAAAAAGTGACAATTTTAGTTAATTTATTTTATTTTCATTCCATTAATTTCCATCGAAGTTTTAGCATAATATTTCACCCACTTAGATGTATTCATAAGTTTATTTTAACAAATTTATGTTAATTTTTTATAAATAAAAATATTCATTCTTTAAAAATGCAATAAAAAACAAACATTTTGAGAGAGAAAGGCAGCCATTACTCTTTTATAAATTTATATTTGAAAGAGTATTTTCTATATATTATGTCTTTTATATAATAGTATTGTTTGTGTTTTTTTTTCCTTTCTTAACGCGGAATGGTTTATCAACCATTTGCCCTAAGGGAAGATGTGTTGGGAAAAAATAATAATATAGATCAATCGATCCTTCTGTAAATTCTTCAAACAGGAACAATAACAAAAGAATAAGAGATAGGGATAAAAAACTATAGTTGGGAATATTACAATGGAGATCTCTTAAGATATTACTATCTTGCTTCTAAGTACCTTAGCAATGGTTACCTAGGATTACACAATTGGAAATACCCTCACTAAACCCACGAGATACAAACTCTTTTTTCATACACTGTCCATAACCACTCAAGTCTCTCTTATTTGGACTCTGTACAAATAGAACCTTAACAAAAGGGTTCTATTTATAAGAGGTCAAATATCTCAATCCTTATATGAAAACAATATTGTAATCATTATAAGACAATAATATCATACCCCTCGTAAGAATTGGTAGTAGTGTTTGAAAATTCTTTTCCTTGTAGGACACGAGTCATCTGTTTTGACTCCATTATTCCAACAAGATGATAGTTATTTCGTCCACTTGACAAACATTATTTTGTGTGTTTATTAAAAAAAACATTATTTTATGTTATCCTCTTTTTCTCTAGATAGCATCTTTATTTTAAACCTAAATTATGCGACACCTCTTTTAAAATCATTATAAAATGAAATTGGTAAGTACTTACAAAAATTTCAATTATTAATAAAATCAACATAATTTAATTGATTAAAGTACTAGTAATCTTTATCTACACGTCAAATGTTCAAATTTTCACTCTCATATTTTATGTGAACTAATAAAATTACGACAATTGATATAATAGACTATATATTCTTCTTCTGAATTACGAGAACTTGATCTTATAGATTTTAAGAGAATAATAACTTTTTATCTTTAAAGAAAAAAAAAATCAAAGAGATGGATGTTGTGTGTTAGTGGGAGACAGCAAAAGCAAGACATGACTTAAAGGTATGATAAGAATGGAATAATTAATTTCAAAATTCAAATAATTAAATACTGCTCGTGTTCATGTAATTGTCCCATCCACTAAAATCAATTATAGAATGTAACTTTATTTTATTTCATCATCTCTATTAATAGAAAATGTTAAAAAAAAAATTTTAACTTCACGTGATTAAACCAAATTATAAATTTAGTTTATTAAGTTTTAGAGCGTTATTTAATAGATGAATAAAGTTTTTTTTTTCAACTAACTTTTAATTTTTAATTTTATATTTAATAAGCTGGTGAGATAATCAACATTTTAAAGAATTTAGAAGCGAGCAGATACACATTTAACTTTTTCTAAAGTTCAATAATATATTAGATACCACCCTTAAAATTTAACACTAAATTTATAATTTAATAATTATTTTAAAATGTTATTACATTATATATTAATAAATTAAAATAGGACTAAAACAATTAGTGTCATTAAAAAAAATTTCATCAAGCCACGATAGAAACTAATTTGAAGTATAAATTTCAACATTTTTTTTTGACAATTAATTTCAACACAAAATCTACCATAAATAATAAATAATGATCAATTGTAGGATTAAAAAAAGAAACGAAAAAAATAAAAAACACGAAACAAAAACATCATTAAACCAAACTTTTAAATAGCTTTGATAATATTTTTGAAATATAAAGATTTAAAGTTTTACTAAATTGAAAAAAAGAAAAAAATGTCGGGACTAAAATAAATGTCAAAACGTTCCAATGCGAAAATTTAAAATTCAAATATTTATTATTTTGTTGTTCATCAAAACTCAAAAGCCGGCCTCGTGCTGCTGTGCATGAAACTTGCCGCTTAACGATGCATCGCACGTGCACTGTCACACCTATCATTGTACAATGAACCAATCAACATTTTATAATTGATTAATTAATTGGAAATAAAAAATAGTATACAACTTTTTTTGTACAACTATATTACTTTACTTTACTGTTATCTAATCATTTAAGTGAAATTTTAATACATATTTTAAAATAATGTCACGACTCTTTTATTGTTTCAAATAGCGTTAAATTGTTGAAAAAAAAATACAGCTCAACTTTGAATTTTGTTTTAAAATTCATTTTTTTTCAAATTTCGATACCACTCTTAATTTTTTATAAACATGTCAAAAAAAAAAAAAACTTTTTTAAACAAAGATATGTTTTTATGACATGGAAATTGATGTCTCAATTTTACCCTGAAAATCTTATTCATCAATTGTCGGTAGAGTTTGTTTCTGACTTGTTTACCTAATTTAGTATTAATCTATCTTTTAAAAATGTTGGTTTCTCTCACGTTTCCTCTCTTTTCATACTTAATCCGAGTAAGATTCCAAGTTAATTGTAACGTTGTTCCAAATTTTGCCACGAATTTTACGTTCAACCGTATTAATAGATGTTTGCTCAATACTTTTTGAAATGTTTATGAAAGGCCAATAATAGTATTAAAACTTTTGAAATAATAGTGGTGGTTTTTTTTTAAAAAAACAAAGTTGTGGGATATTTTTTATAATCTAAACTTTTAAATATAATATGAGCTAAGTATGACTTTTTTCGTGAGTTTAAGTATATGTTTAGTTTTCAATAAACACTTGAAAAATGGTTTTCTAAATAAATAATAACTTTAAGGGAAGGGATTGATAGAAAATTACTTCTAAAAAGTTTTTTTTTTTTTNTTGAATTGTCTAAATAGTTTGTGACTTCATTTTGTTTGTGTCCTATGAGCGAGATTCTTTCGATGAACCTATTCCTACATCTTGCTCTGCTATCATCTATTATCAACAATAAAAAAAAGATATTGTCCCCATTGATGAGTCTGCACACTACTTTGGAATCAATTTTAGCCTAAAGATGTCAGGATACCAGCTTCAATGGTAAGTGTTATCCCTTCATATAAAGCTAAGACCTCTACAACTCTTATGAATTGCGTAAACTTTTCAGCATCCAACAAAATCTCCCTGTTCATGTCACACCTGATTGTTCCAAAATTGACCCTTCCATCAAGGATCGTGTCATATGTATTTAACATTTTTAGTTGTATGGGTTTGGAGGTATCATCTTTTCTACTCTATATGTTGTGTTCTATTTGATCCATTTGCTTGGTTCTCCTGATTCAACACTTTGGCCGTTATTTTGTGATTAGTTACTTTCCAACTTTCATCATAACTTAGTGCTTATCCAATAGAATATTCTATGCGATGCTTAAATTTGTTAGACATTTTGGTATTTCGATTATTCTATGTAAACCATAGTAAAATGATAAAAACTCCTTATTCATTACGATTCAAGCTCTCCCGCCGCCTTACAAAAGAGAGATAGCACCGTTATAAACAAAAAATGTAACCAAATATCTAACAAAAATCATATTTGTTAAAATGTATTGAAAAAAAGTACTTATACTAAATGGTATGTCAAATTTACTTTTAAGATGATTTAAATTTGATTAGAATCATATGATTTTCATAACATATGTTAAGGTTTTAGTAATATGTTAAGATTTCTAGCACATCTGAAAATGATGATATTGGTAATTAATGTATTGAGTAGTGAAGAGGAACACAAGTATTAAAAAATTCATTCTAAAAAAAGAACATATAGTATTAAAAATGGAATAAGACTCTATATGTTCATTATTTTCAAAGGATTACAACTCTGACGGCGCTTCGAAGTTCGATCAATGTGAACTAGAAGGCAACAAATTCTCTCTTTATTTTCTAACATCTCTGCTACAAAAGCCATCTAATTTCCCTTTTTCCTGTTCAAAGGGTCAGCAATTCTATTATATTCGGCTGCGGTCATATTTTCATTAGACCATTTCTAGAACAAATTCCCCCCACGATTCTACCTTTTCCCCTGATTCAAATTCGCCTCCGCAAATCCAATGGTCTGAGTTGAAGAAACTCGAAGAAATGAGAAATTTTCCCCTTTTACAGTGAAACAGTCTCTATTTTCACTGGAAAGTAGGAGCATTGCCGCCACTGTTGCGTCATCTCCAGGTCAGCCCTCTTCCCCCTTTACTTTCCCATCTCTTTCTAATTCTGAAGCAGCGCATTAATCGAGGAATTGAAGTCCCTTTTTAGAATCGTTGTTGTTTGAGGGTTCTTTCCAGAATTGGGGTTCTTTGTTTCTGCAGAATTCGCCGGTTTAATTATTGTAAACATAATGGCCACGGATTCGAGCAATGGCGGCGATGTCGGAGCGGATAACTCTCTCCAGGCCATCTGCTACAATCGCGGCTCGCTGCGGCTGCTCGATCAGGTAGTGTTTGCTTTTTGTTTCTTCATTTGGGTTCTTTTCGTGGATCTTTTGTTCATTAGTTTTCTATTCAACACTTTGTTTAAGCATGTAAACTGTGTTGCTTTTGAACAGAGGAAGCTCCCTCTGGAAACTGTTTACCTGGACATCAAGAACGCAGCAGATGGATGGTAATCTATTGCAATCTCTGTCTAATCTGTCCTTTATTCATGGTGTTTATCCCTAATCCTCATGATCTTCTCAACTTTTTTCTTCCCTTTTTTGAAGATTTCATATTCTTTTGAACTTTGAAGATAAGTTCAATACCATTGTATGCGTATGAATTGCTAAACCTGAACCTCCATCAGTTGATATCTGTGGTTTAGAGGGTTATTATTGTTGCACTTCTGTGTTTCTGGGATCATGGGTTTTACTCTTCATAGCTATCCTATTTTGTGGATTTCTATGATGCTATGATAGTCCCGAAGATCGTCACCTAAGCTTGTCCGAACATTTCCTATTATTAAGAAAACTGTGAGGCGTCTGATTGTTAAAATCAGTGTATTGAGTAAATTTTTGTTTATGAATTTTGTCCTATGGGGACTGTAACAAAGGATTCAAGCCTGCTCCTCAGTACTCCTCCAGAAGTTGCATCTTATTTGTCTAAAGAAACAATGTCTTTAGCGTCTGGCGTGATATTACCCATCACTGCCTAAAAGTCCAACTTCATGAATGCAAAGTGTTTTCGAGCTGTTGTTATGAGCAGATTTTGTGATATTCAGAGCATGCTGTTTGTATGTCAGGCACGCAATAAGGGATATGGTAGTTCGCGGGGCACCCGCCATTGCTATTGCAGCAGCCCTTGCTTTGGCAGTAGAAGTGCATAACTCGGGCACTTTTAACGGGACGTCCAACGATGCAGCTTCCTTTATTGCGGAGAAACTGGACTACTTAGTCTCCAGGTTGCCCATGCTGTGAATATAATTTTATTCATCCATTATCAGTGTTTTTTGCACAGAATTTTTTGAATGACAGCAATGTAAAAACGTTTTTGGACAATACCTTACATGTTTTTTCCTCTTTTGTAGCCGACCTACTGCTGTTAATCTTGCCGATGCTGCCATAAAACTTAAAGAAATTGTATCAGGGGCCGTTGCTGTTTCTTCTGAAGCCCGGAGTGTCTACCAAGTATGTGTTCAGAGTTTCATTCGACTGTTCAGTTTAGCATTATAAGTGCAAGATTTTTTTATATGCATCGCGACAAAAAACATTTTAGCTGATTCATTCTTTTTTATCAAATCCGTTTGATAAGCTGAAATATGAAGGATGCCTCATTTATAAATCCTTTTGGAGTATTTATTACTGGTTGAATAATGAACAGGCATATATAGAGGCTTCGGAAGCAATGTTGGACGATGATGTTGCTTCAAATAAAGCCATTGGGTCCTATGGAGCAACTTATATCCGCGAACAACAAAAATCCTTGGAGAAGTTTTCTGTTCTAACGCATTGCAACACTGGCAGGTATCTTCTCATACATAAATTTTAGCCTCTTCCCACTCCTTTTTCTGATGTATTTCCTTCACTTTTCATTGTGTTCCTTTTAACTTTTAATTTATGAAAATCAGACAAGTGGGTCCGGTCATGGCCATTGAAATGCCTCCTGACATACTATTACTGATCTTCTTTACTTTTCAGTCTAGCAACGGCTGGATATGGTACTGCCCTTGGTGTAATTCGTGCACTTCACTCTGCCGGTGTGTTAGAAAGGGCATACTGTACCGAAACACGGCCATTCAATCAAGTGAGTATTTTTTTCTTGGTATAGCTTATGGAATTGAAGAACTCGCTTAATGTAATATAAAGTGTGTGGTGAAAACTTAAACAATGTATTTACTACATGGTTGGAATTGAAGAACTTGCTTAATGTAATATAAAGTGTATAGTGAAAACTTGAACCATGTATTTACTACATGGTTATGCGGACTACGGCACACTGTCGATAATTGTAACTCTTGCCTATTATTGTAGGGATCTCGACTCACAGCCTATGAGTTGGTCCATGAAAAGATACCTGCTACTCTGATAGCAGATTCAGCTGCAGCTGCCTTGATGAAGTTTGGAAGGGTGAATGCCATTGTTGTTGGGGCTGATCGCGTTGCTGCAAATGGTAACTCAATGCCCTTTCTTTCACATACGTACTGCTCCACCGGTTTTTCGAGGAAGTATGGTTTGTTGAAGAAGGATGTTTGAATGTCTACTTAATACATTGCAGGTGATACTGCAAATAAGATCGGAACCTATAGTCTTGCATTGTGTGCAAAGCATCACAAGGTTCCATTTTTTGTGGCTGCACCATTGACTTCCGTAGACTTAACCCTTTCATCTGGAGAAGAAATAGTTATCGAGGAGAGATCTCCCAAAGAGTTGCTGAATTCGCGTGGAGGTCTCGGGGAGCAAGTTGCTGCATCCGGTATCGCTGTTTGGAACCCTGCTTTCGATGTCACTCCTGCCCATCTGATCTCTGGAATCATAACAGAAAAGGTCATCATCTACCTCTTCCCTAGAAACTGTTTAGAAATCTCAAAAGCATTCTAATTTCAGTCGACATGTTTTGTATTTGCAGGGAGTCATCACAAAGGGAGATTCTGAATCTTTCAACATCAACGATTTTGTAAAAAAGACAGCGGGGACCTGTGCGTAAAGAGGCGGCCTCCTTCATGGACAATGTGCTATTCTGCAGGTACACTAGAAATCAAACAAAAAATATATCATTGTACCTGAGACGAACTGCATAGGTCGAGTTAGCAATGGAATAAACTTTGTTCTTTGTCATCAGAACCAATGGATACAAGAATGCCATTTACCAAAATTTCAACAATTCATGGCCCTCTTTATGAAGTCTAACAACAGAGCAATCAATATATATAACTTGCTGATAGTTCTTGCTTAGTTTCCGTTGTGCCATGAACAGAATAAAATGTTTCCATTTTCCTTGTTTCTTTACTAAATCAAAGCATAATTTTTGGAGTCCACTTTGCCAATTCCCATTCTCACTTGTTTCTGATTCTCTCTATGTACTCTGTGTACGTGTTTTAGAATTGGGAAACTGATAAATCCTGTTCTAATTGTAAAATCACTTAAGAAAAATAGTGATGTGAACTCTTCACTCGTATGGCTGACAATTTTGGTCTGTCAGACACTATAAACGGTTAATGGAGCCCAATCAGCACAGTACTAGAATGGTAGCCTGAAACTGAAAAAACGACGAAATTGACCGAATCGAGTTAGTTCAATCAATTTGAATTATACTTGTCGTTTGACTTATAAGTTAAGATTTTCATAAAAACCGATCCGAATCAATTCATTTATACCCTACCTCAATGGCCTACAGGTACAAGAAAAGAAACACCATTACTGAAAGTTGTACTTGAATCAGAGTGGGCTCTATCCCAGCAAGACCTGACCTGGACTTATTTTCCCTTTCCAATATCAGCTCATCCAACGTTCTTCAACCTTTCCCTTTTCTTCAGCTGTGTAGTTTTCATTGAAGGGACACAAGAAAAAGATCAGGTTATGCTTAGCCTACAAGGCAAAAGGAAAAATATCTTTGGTCTTAGTCTTTAATGAGCAAACAAAGGGGCAAAACAGAACAAAAAAATGGGGTGGTGCAGAAACAGAGCTTTAGGGATGTATTTGGCTGTCTGTTTCAAACCCCAGAAAAAACAGACCGCCATGCACATCATTTTGTAACCATTCATCGATCCCAACACCCAAAAAGCAAAAAAGAAAGAAAAAAAAGATTCCTTTTTGTTTCAAAATATAGAAGGAGACGACATGTGGCCCTCGACCGACGAGGAAGTCGACAGACACAGACAGCAGCTCCCAATCGGATGCTCTGTTCTGTTGTTGCGTGTCGCTTCAGAAGAAAGTTGTATGGCTTTGCACATGGTGATATGGTTCTTCAAAATCCCGTGTCCTTTTCTTACTCAATTTTCAATCTTGGCAGAGAAAATAAGGCTTTCATATCATCAGCCCACCCTCTCCAGGAACCAACTTTCTTTCTGGTTTTCTGATGCGTTTCTCTGACTCGGTTTTAGATTTTTCTTCTTGCAATCGGTTTTGGAAGACCAAACATTGTTTAATAATAACATAATCTTGTGTCTTAAAACGTTTCGGGAATCCAAACGTTGTTGTTGGGAACTTCCAATGGCTCAAGAAGTATAAATAAACTAAACTCACGAGCTTAAAAACAGAGTATTCTGATCAGATCAGAAGAAGAAGAAGAAGAAAGAAGAAATAAGAAAGGCATAGCTTTTTCCAAATGGGGGGGAAAGGGGTGGGTTTCTTTTTTCTAATAATTTTATTTTTGAAATACGTTACCGAAAGGAGACGAAGATTCTTACCCTTACCCAATGACCTTAAAAACTCCGAGTTTTTTTTCAACACCCACTTGGGAAATTTTATTACCCATCATTTGGCGTGGTTAATGGCAATAAATCTATTGCTTAAACCCTTATTTAGCAATGCATTTACTACAAATGGGAAACTGGTCACATCCCAAATGTAATAAATCCTTTTGCCTGTCCTCTGGTTTTCTCTGGTTTTTTCTCTCTCTCCTCCCTAATAGAACAGAGAGGCAAAAGAGAGAAAAAAAAAAGAAGCAGATAAGAGTTCTCTGTCATGCTGTCGGCGATGGCGTTACCAAACTCAGAGTCTCAGGCGACGACGACGACGACGGCGAAATCGGCGGCCACGGCGGAGGTCGAGTGCGTGAAATGCTACTCCTGCGGATTCACAGAGGATTGCACCCCTGCTTACATTTCTCGAGTTCGTGATCGCTTCCATGGCCGGTGGATCTGCGGGCTCTGCATCGAGGCGGTGAAAGACGAAGTCGTTAGATCAGGAACGCTCATCTCCACCGAAGAAGCGCTGGCCCGACACGCGAGTTTCTGCAAAGAGTTCAGATCCTCGAGCCCTCTGGCGGAAACAGAGCACCCCATCTCCGCCATGGGGCGCCTGCTGCGGCGGAGCTTGGATTCTCCGAGAGTTCTCCGGTCGAATTCCAGCAGCGTAATCGAACTCGAAGGAATCGTCGACATCGGCGATTCAGCCAGGCTCCAACGTTCCGGGAGTTGCTTCCCGTCCCTGTCTAGTTAGAAACAATGAACAAAAAAAAAAAACAGAGTAACACTCTCAAGTGGCTAACTTGCTTTAATGGGTCTGAAAATTCGAGGAGAAAACTGACCAATTTCTAGCGTTCTAGTTCGTAAATTTCATCTTCGTTATTGTACACCAGATTTTACCTATGAAGATATAATGTAAGTGGGAACTCGAATCGAATTTGAAGTGTAGATTGAAAGCGGGAAAACGATTTGTTTTGTCTTCCTTGTTTGGATGGAAACGCGTTGAAATGAATAGAAAAAACAGGTTAGGAAGATGAAGAAGGAATCTTGCAGTGTCGCCGTGGCCCGTGGCGCTGTGTGTGTGAGCTGTGTCCTGTAGCATTGATTTGTGTGTGGGTTAAAGTTTTAAAGCTCTGTTTCTGGTAATCCAGTAACGGGAGACGCTGTCAATGGTTGGCTTTCTTGTCTGTTCTTGCGAGAGAGCCAATTGCGACAGCTAAGTATTAGGTTAATATTTAATTAATGATTAATCTAATTTAATTTCTCAACCTTTTTTACGGCTGTGTAGTGTAGTGTAGTGTAGTGTCCTTGAATTTTAATTAATCTTTGATCTGCCAAAATATTTGTCAAATTACAGCGTCTGAGGTATTAAATTTTCATTGAAATACCTCATCGACACAGTGTTCATTGATATTGACATAAATGGTGAATCAATATTTTCATTGTATGGTAAGAAAATCAACGATATATTTAAAAATATGAACAAGATATCATTAATAAACATACAATATTATTCTTGTTCTAGAGCGGATTTGAGATCACAGAAATCGAATGGTGTTCCGAGGAGAAACTCCAAATCAGCAACAACTATACCCGCTTCAATCCCTCAAATAAATACGACCGTTACCTGGTTCGAAGAGATTGCATTTTGTAAAGTTTCTGTATTTTTAAAAGTTTATAATTATAATTTATAATAGGTTTTTAAAATTAATACTGTATTTAATGGGACTATATTGTTCACTCTTTTGTTTTGATCATTATGTTTCATGGTTTAGGGGACTTATTTTCTTGTTAGAGCATATGGATTAAATGAAAATAATTCCTATTAGAATTTTAGAGATCTATTTTTTTTTATAAAAAGTGTAAAGATCAAATAGCTTATATAGATTTATTAAAAAAGAATTATGTACACGATTCTAAAAAATACAAAATTTATAAATTAGCAAAAATTTTATTTATGTACTAAAGTTTTTAAATATTGATGAGTTATGAATTGAACTTAGCAACTTATAATGGGAATGTATAGATGTCTATAGTCATTTGTAGTATTATATTTGTCTTATAAACTTCCTTATTTTATTTTGTTTTATTTTTTTTTTAAATTATTTATCTCTTATGTGATGTCAAAATCAATTTAATTTACAGGCATGCCACATCAACATGATTTAATGGTATTAACATTCTAATCTAAAATTTAGATATATAATTAAAAAATAATTAAAATGGAAAAACTAAATAAACACAACAATAAGATTTTAAATATTAAATTTGCAGTTTAACTTGAATTTTATTATGATCTATAAAGTTTGGTCATTGAAACCATGTATGACCAAATATTACTATCTTATTATTACCAATAAAAAATACACTCTTAATTTGTCCAACCTATACCTACTCCCACCATAAGTATATCCAACATAATTTAAATAAGGAATAAAAAATACCTATTTTAATTATTTCAAAAAAATTTATATTTAAAATAAAATTTTAAATTTTAAATGTTAAAAAAATAAAAGAGAACAAAAAAACTGTCTTTGTTATATATAATTGAAAGACTAAATAAATACAACAATTATAGTTTTAAATACTAAATTTGTAGTTTAACCTAATCAATTACAAGATTTTAATTTTATCATGATTTATAAACTTTGGTTATTTTTTTATACAATATAAGCTTTGATAATTGAAACAACGTGTGACGAAATATTGACTATCTTATTGTTCTCCACCAATAAAATGAGAATACACTCTTAAATTTATCCAACCTATACGTCACTCCCACCACAAATAATACATAATTTAAACAAGGCGAATCTAAATATACATCAACTAATTACAGTAATATTTTCGATAAAAAAAAATTATGAGTACTAATTCTCAACCCACATATTATACTATAAAAATATGATTTAAATAAGAAAGTAAATGTGACGTTCAAGTAGAGAGGATGAGTACATGGATGAACCGGTAAAAATTCTGGATGAGAGGGACCCCGAGATCACGGAAACATGATTAAGAAAGACTTTAAAAAATTGATAGTCCAAAGGTGTATCTTCCTTTTCAGTGACTCAATCATAAGAATAACCATGTCATATGATATGATAATAATTATTTGGGAAAAATTCAATTTAAATACATTTAGTATAGAGTCCATTGAAATTATGATCGGAAAAAAATAAGATAACAAATAAAATGAAATGAATAAAACTGTGATTGAAAAAATAGGAAGCATGTGAGTACCTAGAATATCTATGTTATATCATATGATAATAGTTATTTGGGAAAAAAATTCAATTTAAATACATTTAGTATAGAGTAAATTGAAATTGTGATCGAAAAAAAAAATAAAAGAATAAATAAAACGAAAGGATAACTTTTGAACAGTATAAAGACAAAACAAACATTTTAATTGTGCATAGACTAAAATAATAAAAACTGAAAATACAATTATAATAATTGACATGTATCTTCAACCAAGAGATCATGAGTTCAATCTCCATCATCTCTTAAATCTAAAATACAGGTATTTTAACATAAGTTTTTTTAGCACACTTCTAATGAAAATTTATCCATAGATAAAAATGGCAACACCTACCTATCGAAGTTAAAAATAATTATTTTTTACAAGTAAAACAAAGGAAATATCTTTCAAAAAAAAAAAAAAAGACAAAAGGAAATACAGAATGCGGAGCGTATAAAAGGTCCGCGTTTTGGTTGAAGAGTTGTTTTATCGGGTCGGGCGAGTTGAATTGGGTCATCGTCCTCCGCCAATCTTCTCCTCCCGCGTCCATGTCGTCGTCTTCCCTCAAACTGGAGAACTGGTAGCTTGCTCCACCTCTTCAATTTCTTTCCATTGAATTGAATTGGATTGGATTGGAATCCAACAATTCTCTGAACGTTCTTAGGGTTTCCTCCTCTTCTCTTTTCCCTTCTAAACTCTCGGAGATATTGTCGTAAAACCCCTCTTTTTGTTTTTGTGCGATCAATTCTCTCACATTTCTCTGTTACTTCAACCATCATCTCTGTGCGCCTCGCATCTGATTGTCTGCTGCAATCGTTGTTTGAATTTTGCCCTCCCACTCGCGACTAGGTTTCTGTCTCCCTCTCATTGTTTGCAATTCGGTTATCTGAAGCAAGTATTGGCTTTATTGATTGTTTTTCCCGGCCACCGTGGGTCACGAGAGGAAGATTATGACTAGAACGTATGCAATTTCTAGAGCGGGTAAATTTCGATCTCGAGGGATTTTCAATGGAATTTGTTCCATTGTGTTGCTTTTCTTATTCCTCGATCAGGGGATGTTCTCGAGAAATCCGGCTCTGCAGAATTCGCATTCGGTTCTTCTCCCTAAAGGGGCCTTTAGTGATAGGCTGGTCGGGGTGATTCGTAGGAGAACCGCTGAAGTTTCTGCTTCTTCTCTAAACGATAATATCACTGTTGATGGATCCCTTACAAATAAGACTCTTACTGCGAGTCGTCCTGCATCATGCTTTGGATTATCCGAACACAGAGGTTATCGGAGCCAATGTGAGTACTTGATTGCTCATCCAGATTGCGATTCAGGTGGATTTTTCAATTACATCTCGTTCTTCTACTGTGAATGTGAAAGTTTTAGTCTCTTGGGTTATGTGGCGTTGATAGTTTGGCTGGCTGCTTTGTTCTATCTATTGGGTAATACCGCAGCGGACTATTTTTGTTGCTCCTTGGAGAAACTCTCGAATCTCTTGAAGTTGCCAGCGACTGTGGCTGGAGTTTCGCTGCTTCCTCTTGGTAATGGAGCTCCTGATGTCTTTGCCAGCATTGCTGCTTTTATGGGAAAGGATGCTGGCGAGGTTGGTCTTAATAGTGTCTTGGGCGGAGCTGTCTTTGTTACATGTATTGTTGTTGGTGCTGTTTCTGTTTGCGTCGCTGAGAGGGGTGTCAGGATTGATAGGCAATGCTTTATCAGAGACATTTGTTTCTTCATGTTTGTCATCATCTCACTTGCTATAATCTTGGCTATTGGTAGGGTAACTGTCATCAGTGCCATTGCATTTGTTTCAATTTATCTGGTCTATGCATCTGTAGTTGCTGCAAAAGAGATTATGGAGAAGAACTCGGTGAAAATGACACTGAACTCTGTAACACCTTTACTTCCTGTAACTGGAAACATTTTCTCTGTTGGAAGTGAAGAGGATGAATCGGTCTATGCATCTCTTCTTGAGCCCGTGTCTGATGTTGATGTACCACATCTCCAAAATAAGCTGCCACTATGGATGTGGTCTTCAAATGTTGCAATCTATTCAAATCAGGCCTCGAAGGGCAGTGCAGACAGTCCAAAATTTTTGTGGGGTTGGAATGAGGAGGATGCTGTGAATGACCGCTCTTTGTTCTCTTGCTCCAAATTATTTTCAGTACTCGAGTTTCCCTTGACACTTCCTAGACGCTTGACAATTCCTATTGTGGATGATGAACGGTGGTCAAAAGTTTATGCTGTTGCCAGTGCTTCGTTAGCACCCATTCTTCTGGCATATTTATGGAAAACCCAAGATGATTTAGGACCTCTGAGTGGAGAATTCGCTTACTTTTTGGGGTTCTCCCTTGGTGGCGTGCTTGGTGTACTTGCATATTTGTATACAAGCTCTGATCAGCCACCTCGCAGGGCTTTGTTTCCATGGGTCTTCGGTGGATTTTTTATGAGCATTGTCTGGTTTTACATTGTTGCAAACGAGCTAGTTGCTTTGTTGATGTCATTAGGTATAATTTTTGGAGTTAACCCCTCAATTCTTGGATTAACAGTGTTGGCCTGGGGGAACTCAATGGGCGATTTGATGTCCAATGTAGCACTGGCAATGAATGGTGGAGATGGTGTACAGATTGCTATGTCTGGGTGCTATGCCGGGCCTATGTTCAATACACTTGTGGGGCTGGGTATCTCCATGCTTATTGGAGCTATTTCGCATAGACCTGCACCTTACATGCTTCCCAGAGATGGTAGCTTGTTTTATACATTGAGTTTTTTAATGTCAGGACTTATTTGGTCACTTATTGTGTTACCTAGGAATGGTATGCGCCCAAACAGAAATTTAGGAGTTGGCCTGATTGTTATATATTTGTCATTCCTCACCCTCAGAGTGAGCACATCGATGGTGAAGCACTAATGCTGGCAATAAATGTTCTTTTGAACTAATCATATGTGCCTCAACTAGAAGCAGGGCAGTGTAACCTACATTTTGATTAAACAGTAGCCAAAGGTCGTGGACGCTCGTTGGACACAGAACAGTTATTATGACAATAGATGATGTCGTAGGAGATCATGATGCCTTGACTTTTAATGGCATCAGCCTGTTAATATCATGATTTGTATCATAGCAATGTTTAGTGAAAGGAAGTTTAAAGATTCTTATGACATGTATATGATATTCGTGTGTAACTTTCCCTTTTTATCTGAAGGGTGTACTGGATATTATTCTCGAGCTAGGAGATTATGGAGGGACACTCTCAATCAGGATGCACATTGCAGCTGAATCAGCCATTTTTAGCTCGATAGTGACGTGAAATCTGTTTTGAGTTGGTTCATAAATGGCTCATTTACTCAAATGCAAATGTTTACCGGAATTTTCTTTGAGATATTACTGTGAATTGTTATGAAGGTTTCTTTACGGTAGACATTGCATTTATGACAGGACAGATGGGCATGTTCAAGAAAATAATTGGGCACTTATATTTTTTTGTTTACATGTCTCAATAGTACAGGCGCGCGCTGCTTTATATATCATCTATATTCAAGTAAACCACCGTTTGTTTACGTATTTAACAAAAAAAGCTTGTGTCTGTCTTTCCTGCCTTAAATCCTTCTTGTAGTGATTGTGAGTTTAGATTTAAGTTTTCTTGACATTTGTAGCACGCAGTAAGAAACCAGAAACATATCTTCAGAAGAACAACTGAAATGTGAATTTGCAATTTGCTCTCTGACACCTGTCTGGCTGCTGCATGTAATGTAGGTTCAGTACATGATTTCTCTTTGATGCACAATAATCCGAAATTGCGTGTATGGAACAACTTCTGGTTCTTTAATTCTGTTGTTTCTGTTATTAAAAGTTGGTATGAAATATTCAGCTACAGTTGCTTCTATCTTTCACAGAGTTGCTTAGGACTTCTTAATCTACTCTTATATTGTAGCAGGCATCCTCATGTAAAGGGCAGATGGAACGTTAAAGGCACTTAAGAGTTCAATTACATTGACAAATGCAATAAAGGTTAAAGAATACATTGCTATTAACAAGACCCAGTTCATGCAAACAAGCGAAATGGAACACCACCAGAAGCCTCCAGTTCAATCACATGAACAAGAGCTAGAGTTAAAGATATGGGGAAAACGAAAGTTGAGCAGCATTTCTCCCCTTGTTTAATCTGCCTTGCCTATATTACAAATTCAGCAGCTGGTTGATTCACCATAGATGTTGTCAAGAATGGCAATGACCCCGACAACGAAAGCCTGATCGATTCCAGGTTTTACTGACACATAGTAGAGATCCTTGCTTAACCACTCTCCGGCCTTCTTATTTACTCCAATCTGCAGTTATTTCCAACATGACATATTAATCTATGTGTCTAACTTGTAAGTTAGTGAGAAATAAATTAGTTATGTGGAGAGGACCAAGATAAAATACAACTACTCTCTTCCTAAGTTGGGTGCGGGCAACGAAGCAAGCTACAACTTTAACGAGCAGTAAGTTTCTACTCCTATTTTCAATTTCTACATGCACGTGCCATCTTGCTACATCTGGACGTTGCATGCATTTGAATCTTGCGTATATGCCATTAGGAAACCCTCAGTGATTTTGCGAAGAGGAAACCCAGTGGAATCACTGAAATGTATTGGTTGGAATGGTCTAGGGAGTTGGGTCATACCATCCCAAAACCAAAGGACTAACTTTATGCCACTTTTTAGCATAAAAATTCAGTGAATGCATGTTTGTACAATCATTTGGTTTCTGGATATTGATTGCAATTGTGAAGTAACTTTCACTTCTATGACTAGAGTAGAGAAGATAAAATAGAGGGAGAGAGAGAATCATTAGCACCTGAGCTACCACATTTCCATGAGAGTCAATGATGCTGCATTCCTTATCAGGGAAATATCCACTGATCTCATAGTCCCAATCTTTTTTGCTAACTGTTTTGATTCTGATTCCAGCATCGTTTTTCACAGGAAGACATGACTTGGGCCTTCTCAAGCTGAAAACCAGCTTTTTAGATCCTTGGTAGTCGTATTTGTAGGCCTTCCATATCTTATGGAAGCTTAGAGCTTCAAAAATCCCTCCCTGAAACAGAACAAGATAGAGATCTCCAACACATGCTCATCAGAATCACTGTTTTGATAGTCACAAAAGCACTCATTTATATGCATGAAAAATACAAAAGACCTGTTTGTAGAGTAGTGTATAATTAGCAGATATACCTTCCCGCGGAGTAAAAGCAAAGCATCCCTCTTCTCATCTCTCAGAATCAGCACCCCTTCTTTTCCCAGAATCCCACACCCATCAACACTGAAAACGACTTTCTGATCACAATCTGTCACCACAAAACCTCCTCCATTAACGACATGTGGTCTCGTCCTAACGACAAGCACTACCTCAGAAGATGAACAGTAGAATTTGCTAACCAAGGGAACCATCTCTACTGTTGTAGCCAAACTGTGTTTCTCTGTTTGTTTTTCTGCACTTTATGAGGTTTCTGAACAGCCTTGAAGCCCTCTGTTTCTTCAGAGTTTGGCAAGTGATTGACTATTTTGCTCATGTTGAAGGTTGAAGAATATTAATTGGCTCTCAAGTCAAGGTTGCTTGTTTCACAACACAACAAATGGCTCTGGGAAACAGAGAGAGGGCTCTGGGAATTATTCTAAAAGGTTAGTAGCCAAAGAAAAGACATAAAGAAAGATTCTTTCTAAGACATATCTTGAGAAAACAAGCAATAGTTGATCAGAAATTTGTGCTTAGAATCCAACTGATAAAGCCATCGACTTTGACAATGTGGGTTCAGATTTGATAGGAGCAAGATCCCAAGCCTGTAGTTCTCAAAGGAAAACCTTTGAGTAAAGTAATGAATGCACTTTCAGAGAGCATCTGGCCAACCTCAAAATCTTTTGACCAGTCTTTAACAACCTTGTCTTGAATCTTAGTGAGCCTATACAAATAGAACACTATCCCTCAATGCATTTTGAAAAAGTTCTTTCAAAGATTTCATTGGTTCTATTACTTTTGACTCTTGGTGTCGGTTGCCTTTCCTACAAAGTTACAGAGAGTCAATAGACGTCGTTTTAGTAATATTCATGTTTTTTGTTTTCTACCTTTCTTCTTTTTCAATTGTGTTTGATAAATTTTTTTTTGTTTTTTTAAATATGTTTTTTTGTACCATGTCTTGTTTTTTTTGTTCTCTAAAATTTATTTATTTTTTGGTTAAATATTTTTTATGCATTTTATAATTTAAAAAATGATAAAATATTTATCTATGTTTTGGAAAAACTTGAAACATGAACCCATTTTTGTTTTTCCAAAATTTCTATACAATTTTAGAAATGTTTTAGAAAATGAGTAACAAGAAATAATGATAGTAACTAAACACTTACCTTTTAGAAATGTTTTGGAAATGTAAGTGTTTACTTACCATCCTTATTTCTTGTTGGCAATTAGAAACAAGAAACGGAAATATGAGGGCCCGTTTGGTAAAATTTTCGTTTCTTGTTTCTTGTTTCTCGTTTCCAATTTTCTTAAGAAATCTAAGTAGTTTACAGTTAACTTTGTTTCTTATTTCTCCTTTTTTTTAACATTCTCGTAATTGTATTGAAATTTTGGAAACAATCAAAACAAATTTTTTATTTTTTGTTTCTTGTTCCCATTTCCAATTTGCTCTAAAATATAAATAAAAACAATGTTTGATCATACTTGAATTTTTAGAGGTTGAAACCATGCAACACATGTTTTTCATTAAAAATAAAGAAACAAAAATAAGAAACAGGAACGTTACCAAACAAGCCTTGACCAAATATATTCTTTTTAAATTAGTCACATACTTTGTCAAATTCGAATGATAATCATTCAACCATAGAGTATTTGAGTTTGGGCATTGGGTCAATTTGTATTACAGAATGTCAACCTGACTATAATTCAATTTATTTAGGTATATAATATTTTCTATCAAAAGATTGTGAGTGAAATTTTTTTCTCTTTTCTTTCAAGTCTACAGGGTGGCTTTATAAATACATCTAAGTAGAGACTAAATGTATTTTTTTAACCTTAATAATATTACCATTTCAAGAAATAAATCGTGATTTAAAATTTTAAACATAATTGAAATTCATTAAAGTTTGGAAGTTTATAGAGAGAACATATTCTAATGTTAATTTAAGTTCAGGTGCCTTTTGAACTTCTTACTAGAATAAAAATAATTTCCCAGCGTTAATTAGAATTTTTCTTTCCCAAGTTTATCTATTTATTTTTTTGTAAAAAAGAAAAAAAAAAGTGGGATTGGTGATTAAAGCTTATTAGAATTAGATGCTTTGAATCATAAGAAGAAATTAATTAAAGTATGGAAATCATTAGTTGAGATTTTTATTTTCTGCTGCAAGTGGATAAAGCATCCGAACATAATTTCAATGGTGATAGTTCCCTTTCCAATTGTAGAACGAAAAAAAAAACCTGGAAATTGAAACTAGGGTTTTCAAGAACCAGAATCCAATCGGTACTTCCATGGCATAAATCACGATAAATTTTCGAAGTAGCAGTAGTTTTCGATTCTTACTCCGAAACTGCCATTTTCAAATTTCAAACACAGAACCCATCGGCAGAGAATGTAGAAGTTCGATAAGAATCGCGATAATGGATCCTACTCTGCTCCTCCGGGCTCCGCCGAACTGCTACAGCATCGACTGTCGAATTTCTTCGACATGGCTGCATTGCCAGAGATCGAGGACAGGGAATTTTCCAGTACAAACGTGTTTCAGGAAGTTTGCACCGGCGAGAAGACAGGATCCCATCAGAGATATCCAGAACGTATGTCTTCTCTTTACCTTCCCCACCACCCCTCGCGTTAGCGTAAAGTGAAATTGGATTTGACCTCGGGTTTGGAGCCTGAACTTGAACCTCCAATCGTCTCCAATGTTTGCCTAATCGATTCGTCTCTGCCCCACTACCCTTTTGCCGTGTTTGGGAAAGACCAAGAATCGTTGGATATGTCTCTTCATCGTGTTTCGATTCCGTATGACGACGATCCGAGTAACAGTAGAGTAGACCCCCCCGTCGCCAGATTGAAAGAGAGGCCCATGTTGTTCTGTTCATGTGATTCTCCAAGACCTGATGGGCCAGACATTGGTGGTTTTCATGACGACTTGATATTAGGCCCGCGTTCGCCTTAAGCCCGGTGGTCACACTCACACCAACTGTTTGTAGAAATGTCAGGTATTGTATTTTCTTTTCCTTTCTTGTCCCATTTGTTCAAGTAGTCGGCTGGGAGTTGGAACGTTATTTTTTCAATGTATACTATTCAGTGTTTACATTACATTATTCTGTAGTTTCCTGTTTGTCTTAGCTCGAGATGCCGATTCGTCATATGATCTATGGCATCCGACGCAACAGCCTTCTCCATTTCCTAGGCATTTCTCCTCCACGTGCGTTCTGAGCTTACCTACTTCCCCATTTTGCTTCTCTGCTGTGCTGACTGCTACACACCATCCTTGAACACCCAAAACAGCTAAGACAAAGACACAGCAACTTACATACTTATAGTCATTTCTCCTTACTCTATTAAGGCTATAGAATGAGCAAACTCCAAAATCTCACTTGGAGAAAACCCAGGCGCCTATACTTTGAAAATTAGTCTCCTACCGGCTTTGTCACGCCAGGGCACAGGCTTTTCTTGCAGCCGTCTTTACATTATTAATGGAAAGCTGAGTTTTTTTAAAAAATATTTTGACCCCTTTTCTCACTCTCTCTCATAGAAGAATGCTACTGCCTCGAGTAGAGAAAAGGCTCGTTTTTTCACTCAAAGCCTGTGACAATAATGACTCTCTTTCTGGCCTCATTATCACTTGCATCATTAAAAACCCTGCAACCCACAACTTGATACATACATTTATGTGCTGCAGTTTTACTTGCAGAGCGGCCTTCTTTTTGTGGGCTGTAATTATCTTTGTCAGCCTTTCTTATTACTGCTCTGTCACTACCCATATGTAAGAGCATTCATACCAACATCAATTGCCGCTTTAGTTTGTCACTTGCTTTTACAGTTACTACTTTTTTCCATTCTCTGCTTCTCCCCGACTCACTAATATTTCTGCTGCTACCCTGCTATTGCCATTCTTTGTTGTTTTCTTTCTCATCTGTGCTCTGACCTTTGGTGATTGGCAACTGGGTTTCTATCAGTGTCGGGTGGCCTGAGAAGTGACTCAAGCAATGGCTACTCGGTCGGTTTACTCTTCCTCAGTGCCTTCTCTACCGCCCCCGAGTCCCAAGTCTCCGCCCGAGTACCCGGATTTGTATGGGAAGCGTCGTGAGATAGCCAAGATTCAGACGCTTGAAAGAGAAATTGGTTTCCTTGAGGTTAGTTCGAATTTGAATTGATTGTCACTGTCGCCGTCTTCTTCTTCTCCTCCCCCTCCTCCTCCTTCGTCCATCTTTTTCTAGTCCTTTGAAGTTCAATGGCATAGTGACGTCGAGAAGTTGTAGTTCAATTGCAAGCATTTCTCCCTTTGATATTAGCTTAGCTTTGCTACTTAGCAGATTATTGAAGCTCTACATGCAGATCCATTGTTTGATTTGGGGAGCTAGTTTCTCCTTACAGTTAAACAGATTTGATTTGCTCAAAAACTTCCCTTTCATATCATGAAGTTTCTCCTAAAACTTCTTTTTAACTTCTGGAAAAACACCGCCTGGGGAGTCTGGGGCGGGGAAAATTTAAGAAAAATGGTTGGCTCCTAAACTTCCTGGGCTGCCGCTTCCCCAGAGAAAGGGGAATGAAAAAGAAGAAAGAACTGAATTTCTATCCCTTTTTCCAAAATCCGTGAAATTTGAAAATTAGTGGACTCGATGTCTTCTTGCTTTCATTTTCCAGATAATTCATATTTCTTCAGAACTACTTGCGAAAATTTCTCCTCTTTCTAGTTATGGGATCGTTTGGCTGGACAAATGCCACATCTCACATCATAAATTGAAATACAAGTACCATGTTCTCAGATGCGTGAGATGAAACTTACTCTATCACACATGTCAGGAGGCATAGTTTTCAGTTTTAAATTAATTACCATGTCTGCTTTTTATTAAGTTCAGTGTTTTCCTGAAACAGGAAGAACTAAAATCTGTTCAAAGTCTTCAACCCGTCTCAATATGCTGCAAAGAGTATGTTTCTTTTTAATTAATTTCATCATCTTTTAATTTATTAAAGTTCTGAGGTCTTTCTTCTGTTAACTGTACATATTCAATTGGGAAATTTATCCATCCACTTTTTGCTTCTGCTGTTGATTAACATCACACTTTTGCAGGATAAGTGACTTTGTAATGGCCAGCTCAGATCCATTGACACCTACGTAAGGGTTCATTTTTAGTTAAACTAATCTGCAGAAATTTAAGGCCGTACTGATTATGATCCACGTCCATTTTATTTTTCGAGCAGATGTAGGACAAAACGTGAGCGATGTCGCTTCTGGAAATGGTTATGGTTAGAACTTTCAACATATGAATTCTGATTCTCAGCTTGTCACTGAGAATGTTTTTGTGCATAACATTTGTGACGATTGTCATGCAGCGGATTTCCTTGCTTTAACTTGTCGTCACTGTGCTGCTGCTCCTGCGCTGGGTGCTCTGTCTACCTAGAGATGCCTCGCTGCTGTGATTGCAAACAATGTAACTTCCAATCGTGTATAAGCTGTTGTAGCGTGCCAAAGTGTAGTTTTTTCTCTTGTCCCTCTTCCTCCTGCTGTAGGAACATCTCGTGCCGTAGATTGTGTTGCGTTTTATCATTACCATCAATGTCATGCCCCAATCGTTGCTGCTGCTGCGAATGCAAATGCAGCTGTAAGTGCTCTTTTCCAAAATGTCCACAGGTACCTTCTTGTTGCCTCTGTACAAAGACCTGTTGTAATCCCTGCTCTGCATGTCGTTGCTTTTAGTTACCAACACTATTCCATGAAAGTTATTATGATCTTCTACTACTAATGTAAATTATTATGATTATTTACATTTTATTATTAATTTTTTTTTCCAAATTTACAAGTGGGAATACGGTTGGTATGACTTCTACATTATTTAAGACAAGATTTTGAGTTGTTTAATCAGGGTCCTACTGCTTGATCATTGATGCAAATCATTAGAATTGGTTGGCCACAATTTGTCTATATGGTTATGGACTTGTCTTATCACGAGTTACTCTTTTGTAAAAATATCCTCCTGTTTGTTTAGACTCTGAATTAGTAAATCCTACTAGCGGAGGCATATGGATATAATCTGCAGCAAGTAGCATGGCCCCAGATGCTTCCGCATCAACAGTGGAAAGGTACCATACTTTTACGTTCATCATCTAATGCTCTAGTACTCAACATGACCCGGTACATGATTATGTTCTTAATCTGTACTTGTTTTTCAAAGTGAATTAGACATTGACAAAATATTTGGATAGACTTAAATAGAGGAGGTCTGTTCATCACTCTGCTTTGTCTAGTTTTGTGGGGGTGGGGGGGAGACAGATGAGAAGTTTGGTTGTCAAATATTCTAAGTACACACTTCACTGGCCTTCATGTTTGCAAATTTTCTTAACGGACCCAACAGTAACATTAATTTCAAGATGACTAAGAAAAGAAAAGCCAAACTAAAGCATGTTGTGCCATTACATTAGTTTTAACTCTCCCTGGACATCCCAACTTCGTAAATTGATCAGTTTCAGACTCTTCTACTACCTATTGAGGTGGCTTTTCAATGGCAAACCAAACCAAACCAAACCAAACGCTGAATTTTTCCATGCTTTGATTGATGACCATTTCTTCTGGCTTATTGTGGATCATCAACCTCTTGCTGATTTCTTCTGGAGCAAATTGGAGGAATGGAAAAACCAGTAACAAATGGAAAACGCCCTATACAAAAACAACAATCACAACCTCGTCCAGGCGAATGCCACCGGGCTTCTGACTTGGTGTTGGTCGTTGCTCCATGCAATCGATCCAAACCCGAATCTCGTGGTTTGAGCTGCATTGCTGCTTGCCACGAATGTAACAGTATATCTCTTCCTCTCCCCAACTTTAGTGAATGCAAGCTTTGTAGGTTTCACCACCACCTTCACAACTGAAGGTGCAGTTGTAGCCACTTCGTAAACCGAGCCTGCAGCCCCTACATTTGTGACTATTCGAGTGTATCGAACAACCCTCTTGCTCCCAAACACAACTGAAAACGACGGGTAGTTGAGTTGTCCTGGGTCAGCAAACTTTCTGGAGCAGGTTATGTTCGGGCGCTTCACGATAGCCTGAACATGGTCAATACCATAGTCCAAAGAGCACAAAAAGGCAATGTAATCCTCGGTCGAGATATCGTACAGGAGACCGGGGGATAGGGCCTTGTGGGGATCAACATGGCCAGCTCCATGAGCCCACGGATTGGAAAATGCCCCTCCGGCAGCGTCCCGGAGAGATGAGTTGGTGTTGTCCTGCGTGTATGCAGTGGTCATCAACGCAGATTTGATAGCACTAGGACTCCATTGCGGATGAGCTGCCTTCAGCAATGCCGCCAGCCCACTTATATGAGGGCAGGACATGGATGTTCCTACATTTTTCAAGCACAAAGGACACTTTAGCAGAAGATTCTAACATTATTTGCCTAGAAAACCGAATCAAAGCTTTCAGAAAAGTTAAAAGGGCAAGTCATAAATTTGAAATCTTGAAAGCGCCAGGACAGCCGTTGGATGACAGAAAAGGGAAAGAAAAAGGCAGCCTTTGAAGACAAACAACATACCTGACATAATATTGAACTGGGTTTTCCTCTTGTCGCTGTCCAATCCAGTAGGCCCAATGGACTCAGACCAGGCGGCCAAAATGTTAACGCCAGGCCCAATAACGTCTGGCTTCAGGATTTGGGGCGTTACCAAGTTGGGTCCTCTGGAACTGAAGGCTGCCACCACTGGAGATGGCCGCACATTCAAAACCGTCCCACCAAAGCTCAGCACCGCCGTCGGCT